TAGTTAAAGTTAAATAGTCTTCTAAGTACAAATCGAAAATTATATCAAGAGGGGGGGGGGGGGGATGTGACACCACGACGTAAACGTAAACTATAAAGAAAACAATGCTACATCCAACTGTATTATAAACAGACTGTAGATAAACATCGTTACTATTAAGTCAGCAGTGATTAAAGCTTAAACACGTACTTGTACCAGTATGTGGCATATATAACCCTAGGCCGACACACACACACACACATATATATATATATATATATATATATATATATATATATATATATATATATATATATATATATATATATATATATATATATATATATATATATATATATATATATATATATATATATATATATATATATGCTTTGTTTCCTGGGAGGGGGTGACAATACGAAGTGCCGCACCGGGTGAGACCCGACCTAGCGACGCCACTGGCCTAACGGCTGACAAAGGGGCCCACTGATAATTTTTGCATAGGGGCCCAAAAATCCTAGCTACGCCACTGCACTGACAATACCGTTTCTGTAGAGTCTCCCGGCAAAGCGGTCTCATTGAATATGACATCTGCCAGTGGGACCCCTTCATCAATATTCTTTAGAGTTAGCTTATCCAACACTCTTATGTAATACAGGCCTTATTTTTATATTAGTTTATCTATTATAAAATATAGTTTTAATTTAAGGGTCATCTATCTATGACATCCATAACTGAGTCGGTTATAGGCTGTTCCAACTCATTGTGTGGGGAGAAGGGTCCACGCTGTACCTTCCTAACTGCAATATGCTTGTACAGGGGCGTAGCGAGGGGGGGGGGGGGGCGGGGGGTGCGGACCGCACCGGGTGACACCATTTAGGGGGGTGACACAAAGGCAAAAAAATAGCAAAATATATAGAGAAAAAGTTGAGGGGGTGGGGGTGCAAATCGAAAGTTTGGGAGGAGGGGTGCAAATCGAAAACTTGAAAGTTTGTCCCCGGGAAGGGTCGCAACGCCTCTGGGGGGGGGGGGGGGGGGTGACACCATTAAGTGCCGCACCGGGTGACACCCGACCTCGCTACGCCACTGTGTTTGTAGTTTATCAAAACAAAATGCTGTTATCATGTTAACATCATTTATATCATACATTTACACTTCTGTGCTCGCTTTTAAGCAACATATCTTTTACGTGTAAATTAAACATTATCAAAACTTTAGAAATGGTGGAATTTAGTTGTTAAGGGCTCGATTTGTTTGTGAATTAATGTTGGTTCATGAAAAAATAATTTCATTCGGGCATTAAAAAGAGGTTATGGTGGTATTGGAGGTAGGACACAATGGTTACTTTTATGCCAATAGTGGTCATATTCATTTTTCTGGAGCCAATATGTCGGGATTCATTTTGTCAAAAGCCAATATGTCGGGAGCCCAATTGCCGGGAGCCAATATGTCGGGAGCCCATTTGTCGGTAGCCAAAATGTCGTGAGCCCATTTGCCGGGAGCCCATTTGTCTTGAGCCCTTATGTCGGGAGCCAATATGTCGGGAGCCGCTTTGTCGGGAGCCAATATGTCCTGAGCCTATTTGTCAGGGGTTAATATGTCGGGAGTCCATTTGTCGGGAGCCTAAATATCGGGAGCCCATTTGTCGGGAGCCTATATGTCGCAAGTCAATATGACGGGAGACCATTTGACGGGAGCCAATAAGTCGGGGCCCTTTTGACGGGGCTATTTTGACGGGGTCGGTTTGTCGGGAGTCGATTTGACGGGGTCGTATTAACGGGGCCGTTTTGACGGGGCCGATTTGTCCCGGGCCGTTTTGACAGGGCACCGTTTAAAATTGATTCGTTAACCACTGGGCTGTTTTGTGTGTGTGTTGTTGTTTTGTTTCATTTAGCTCGTCTTTGTATCAATGGCAAAATGAAAACAAAGCCCACTGTTTGAAAGATGAAGTAGTTGTGTGGTCTCGATTTAATGAGCGTACCCTATGGTCTTGTTTAGGCGACTGTATGCAAATGTATGTCCGTGTTTGTGCGTGCATATGGTTTTTGTGCCGTTGCTAATTTAAGCTCGGTCGGCCTAATCTGGCATCTAGCTGTGGGCAGGGGTGTGACGTAACTCTCACTGGTCACGACTGGCCGGTGGTCGATAAACCTGTAGCCCGCCATCATTCACCACGGTCAGAGAGAGGCCTTTGTCTCGCCCTATTCCCCCCGCCGTCGGTACTATTAGAGCTACGTTACTTCAGGCTTAGCCGTCAACGCGTTCACCGCCCGCTCTATTTATCACGGAGCTAATAACGTAGGATATATGTCATGCACTGTCTTCTTGCTCATCTGTTTTTTTTCTTCTTCTTTCAATCCTTCTAACTCTAGACTCATCTATTTATATTTGACTCAGCCGGTTCCCAGGGGCTCACGTGCATGGCGCGCGCTCGTAATTCCAGGGTAATGTAACGCCGAGGCTCTCCCCACCCTAGAATTATCTTGATAAAAATTGAGGTTAACACAAAAATCTCAAGGTTCGTTGTATTGTTTCTATTCATTTACATACGTCTGTGTCTTGGAAAGATACCCCCTTTGTCTGCTTCACGCTAGTCTGCAGTATAGTTTAACTTCTATTTATAGTAGGCCTATAGTGCTCACCAAGTGAACTGGATAGTGAAGAACAGTTTTCATAAACTAACTCTAACTGGGATTTTCTGACTATATTATTATTTGTGTGCAAAAAATACTTCAGAAGTTTGACCTGTGGTGTTTAAAAAGAGGAAAAAAAATTAATTGAACTTGAGGATAGGAATGTTGATTGTAGTGTAAACAACACTAAACTAATATGTTTAAAGGTGTAATTCAATAGTGCTGGTGTAATTGTGCTGTCCAATCTTCTCTGCATACATCTTACTGCCAGCCATTCCCTCCTCTCCCCCCTGTACCATCTGGCCCTACACCCTCACCCTTTAAGGTACTTAACTCTGACTTAACCCTACACAGCTCTCACATTATTTCCTCCCTGTAATTATCACCCAAGGTCAGCCTGCTCCTCTGTCAAGATTTACTACCTTGAAACCAGTATGTGGGCACAGGTGAAGTTCTCCCTGTATAACCTAGTATGCAAATATTGCTAAGAAGCTGGAGGGGGGTGGGGGAACTGAAGGTTTTGGATGACTTGGTTCATGTCAGGGCTAATGGGTTAAAGGCTGGCTGGAAGGGGGGTGGCTGCAGTATAGGTTTTATTAGAGGTGCCAGGGGAAAAAATACTGAACATTTGTCCACAGCAGAATAATGGAGGTAAGAATAACATAGTATTTTATACACAAATAATATACTGATAGAAAATGTAATAAGCTAAGCTTTTTAAAAAATAAAATTGTAGGTATTTTCCCCAATATAATCATTTATTCGTAATTTATTAATTGATATTTGAAATAACCAATCAAGCTACAAAATAACCATTTGCTATAGTGAAGTATAATGCTGATAATTTTGTTCATGCAATGATGCATGGGTATGATTTGATATGTCAATATATCATTCCTGTGGTTAACATAAATTCATTGAGTTGATTTATGTATGAAGTTTGCATAGACTTTGAGTTGGTTATGCTACACTCCACTGCTCTGATGGTGCTCTCTGATGGTGATAGACTTGTTCTGTTCTATTGACTAAATCTTTAGTTTGATCAATCTTGAAGTGTTGTTGAACACATGGAAACAGGCAGTGATAGACCTGTTCTGTTCTATTGACTGAATCATCAGTTGATCAATCTTGAAGTGTTTGTTGCACACATTGATACAGGCGTAGATTGTCCCTGGAATGCTGGGCCACAGCTGTTTCACCTGACCAGCTGAACAGAATTGATCTTTATGTTGTGTTTGGCTCATTGTGTTAAAATTAGGACCCATTGAACCCTTGCAACACACTTTTGCACAAACTGCAACATGTCTTATTATTACCATTAACATGCTGGTAGTGTCTTATTATTATCAGTAACATGCTGGTAGTGTCTATTCATTGTTGTTGGATGTAAGTAGAGTGATGAAAAAATTCAATTAGTAGCAGTTTATGACAAAAAAATTAGCTGTATGTTGCTACATTACCAGATATAACTCATATCAAATGAATAAGCATGCTTAAATAGATAACATTTGTATTTATATGTAAAGGTATTGTTAGTTGAGCTAAACATTATTGAATTTAGGACTGACACTTGGAGCATAATGAAAGATTCCAATTCTTTTATTTTTACGTGCATACATTAATTTCTAGAATTCAGTTTATTTTTTATTCACTTACATCTGTGTAACTTAAACTATCTTTGTTTCTTAAGTTTTAAGTAAAATAACTTAGGCCTAATTGGTGTTTATCTGTTATTAGTACCTAGAACTGGTACTTGCAACAAATCTTCCCCCCCCCCCCCCCCCCCCATTCCTTGCATTGACCCTCGTTATTTCATTCCTATAAATGTCGACCAGATGTCTAATAAAAATCTCATGTTACACTTAAAACATAACTCACATTTGCTGATGTTCAATTGTCTGCCAGTCTAATAATAGACATGACACATTTGGGACACTCTATTGGACTGCTATTGAGATAAAAATAACTGTGTGACTCATGACAATGCTATCTTTGGTTGCTTGACACTGAGATGTTAGAAGATTTTTCTTTTGTTAACTAAATGCAGATGTTAGATATTTACTCAATAAGTTGTACACTTTGGGATGTTTTATTGCTTCTTGTTATACTGCTGATGGTTATTTCCAGGATAAGTTGGTAAATACAAGATTCTTGCCAAACACTCATCACAAATATTTGTTGTTTAAACTTGCAGCAAAGGGTGTTTGATTCATATTTTACTTCAGTTTATTTTTGTTAATGTACTGTTGTTGTCTTGTGTTAGATTTGAGTAAGTGCATAGCTCTTATTTCTCATTGATAAGTTCCTACTCTATACATATAAACATCTTTTTAGGTAAGGTGTAAACGATTGACACAATTCACAGTACAGATATTTTTTTTTCCCCAGATGTCACTGTTTTAAAACCGCAAAGAATTTCCTCAAGTCCTAACTCTAACCACAAGAATTATCTGGTGAACCCTTGAGAGCTACAACCTTTGAGTTGTAGCCACAACACACTGTAACCATTGACAACCACGCCACAGATATGAGTCTTCCAAGACCAACAGGGATTAAAGCGCCGTCACGTATAGGGAGGCCATCGGGGATTCCAGCTCCCAAGACACCGGCACCAGCCTCCACAGCTCCACCGCCGACTGCTGCCCCAACGTCTGCTCTCAAAGCTCAAAGTAGGTCAATCCTGTTGTCAAATGTTTCCTTGATTTCCCAGCTGTATGTTGTTGATAAGTTAAGGGCCACTTATGTCAGATGTGTAGTTTCATTCATAATTAGGAAACACTACCAGGGACATTAACACCAATACTTTCCTGCCATATGAGTCAAATATGATTTCTAAAAATAACTTGTGAGCGTTCTGTGTGAGCTCAAGGATTCCCAGTATAACTTAAGAGCTCTAGTGTGTTAGGTAGATTTAATTGAAAAGTACTATGATTTATTTTGAAACAAGAAAAAAGAACACAAAAAACATCAAGTTACTGTTATTTTTTTTGTTTTTTAATTTAGATGTTTGTTATACTATATCAAAATATAAATGTATGAAATACAATTGACTTTGTTTTAATGTTGTGGGCTTAGATTTTTGCATGAGTTTGCTTTAGTTTTACTAATGAGAAATGAGTTTTATAATGCATTTTGGTATTGAACAGATGTGTGCAAATAACTTTCTGAGACATTAAACTGTTAAAATATCCCAATGTTTTTCAAGAACATTTATGAAGATTGGGGAAAAAACAGTATGAAAATATTTTTGGACCAAAAATAGTTTTGAAAAATATGGAAAAGTAGGCCTATTGGTTTTAGGTTAAATTACACTTTGTAAGAAGAGAAATTAGAGTTTAACTTTTAGTATAAAGAAAGAGTTAAAAACCGCATCACAACTGGTAAGCAGTTGTACTGGTAGCTAGACGTGGATGCATGTGTAATGATGTTGTCTGCTGCATGTCTTTATGCTTGTTTTGTCTCTGATAAATAAGGTGCCATTGCTAAATCTGCTAGAGGAGTTGGATTTTCACCTCTCCATGCTGAGCAGTATGCTGAGAAAACTGCTCCTCTTCTCAAAGGTATTCATTTTTTCCTCTAACATAACATTTTGCTTGCTTTTTATATATGAATCTTCTGTTTTTGTCATGTCCAGCAAAGCTGTGGTTGAAAATTTTGTTATTGTATTTGAGCAATATTAATTAACTCTAGTTTTAAAAAAGGCTTTTAAGATTAATACATTAGTTGCCTAATGATATTTGTTTATAAAAATGTGTTAGATAAATTTGATACTTTAACTTTAACCTGGTTAAAACATTCTGATTTCTTGCTGATTAAGGACTAGGCTATGTGCAGTAGCACGTTTCTTAATGCAAACAATAGGTGGGTGACCTGATTGACAAGTTCCCATTAACTAACTGATCAATTTGACAAGAGGTACTGGTCCAATAGGTAATGGGGTCATGTCGAACAGATTGAAAGAATATTGTCTTTCAAAAGCCATGTGAAGAACTCTATTGGAACAGTAAAAAAAAAATGAATGGAAAGCAAATAATTGTAAATGTCAAAATATAATGTTGAAAATAGTATCATTATTTAAACCTTTGAAAAATAAATTCAGCCCTGTGTTTTTTGTCTTTTGGAACAAGAAAAAACAATAGCAAATATTCAGTTTTTTAATCTAAAGCTTCTAAAATATATATCGTAAATAATCTTTTATTTTTTTTTATATAAGCTTTTTTTAAAAATCTAAGCATTTTTTATTTTTCCTTCTCTTATTCAAGTTCTTTGATGTCATATTTTCTTCATCTCATTCATTCAGTAAAGAAAAGAGAAGTTATTTGTTGTATTGGTAACCCTGTGTTGACCTTTCTAACCTATCATCTGACCTCTTGAGATCAGTCAACACATGTACTCACCTTTCTCCCCCTCCACTGTTGCTGGAGCTCTACAGCTATGTTATCACTCATGCTAGGAATGTAGCTGGGTTGGGCTTAACACTATTCTCCCATTATCCTTAACAATGGTATGGTCTCTAATGTCAAATACTGTTCTACCAGAACTGGTTTGACTTGTACATAGTATTAGACTGGTTAAGTAAAACCATGTTTATTAATAGAGAAAAAAAATTCTTTTCTAAACAAAATATGTTTACAGTGTGATCACATGACATTGTTTACTACTTCTGGGGAGGTACATCATAAATATAGCTCCAGATCTCTATTGCCAAGTTTTGAAATGAATGTCAAACTATTAGCATGTCCTAGCAACATTTATTTTTCTCATTTTTAAAAATTTCCTGACTGTAAGAGTTGATACAGAATAATTTTTTAAAGCTTGTATTGGTAGTGTCATGTTTGTATGACAACAGCTTAATATTACTGCCAGAATACTACTAGTAAACAAATACACACCAGTGATTACCTGGAACTTATTTTTGTTTTTTAAATTCTCTTTGTTGGATCTCTTTGTTTCCCCAATATAAAGCATCCACTGTCCTGAGGCTAGCATTGACTGCACGTGGTACCCCTTGATACCCTGCCAAACTTGTTTGTTACTTTAATTGCCACCTACATAGTCTTCCTTGTGTTTACCTTTTTCTCTAGTCTCCCATCTGGTGTTAGTTAGGGGCTTAGGGCATGTATGTACTGTACTGGATTGTTACAAGTTTTTTCTTGTCATATTTATTATAATCTGATTGAGCAGAATTATTTTCTACTTGTTGAATTGATCTATAAATATAGCTATTATTTATACATTGGCAGTGCATGAAAACTAACCACTTTCTATGTTGCAATGTTTGAAATATTGTGGGATTACAGTGTTTTTCTTAATATTTATGGGGGATTAAGTTGTCATCTTGGCCAGGTAATTTCTGTGTTAAAATAAATGTTCTACACATCTCTATTACCACCACTTTAACTCAACATAGTTGAAATAGTTCTTATAATCCTACTGCATGTTATGTTTTGGTTTGAGTTTTAACTGCATAAATTTCAGAGCCATGTATAGAAAGGAGTGCAGTTAATGCAACAGAAATAAAAACTGTAGTCATAGTAACTTGATTAATTTGCTAACTAAAATACATGGTCAGATAACCAGTATGGCAACATAGTTTTTCTAGCATTTGTATCTGATTCTACTATCTCAATTACCTTGTTTTTGTAACTACTGAATAAACACTGGGAGAAATGCCAATTTTCCCCATTGATTTTTGGCTCCTCTCGTGTGTACTCTGTAAAGACTAGACAATCCTGGTGAACTTCAGTCAAGTAACCAGAATCGAAGGTTTTATAAAAACATTAGATGTTTCAGTGTATAAAATAGGCGTTAAAGCATCTTATTCTTAGCATGGTTTGACTATTAATCCTTTGCAATTGTTTAGCATGTTAGAAGTTATAATTGTTGTGGAGCAATGGTATTTTAATATTACAAGATGTTTGACACCATTTCTCCTGCTTGCTTCTAGGTCCTGAACCCTTATCAGAGGATGGCAGCAACACCGATGACTTCAAGATTGGGGACAGAATTTGGGTTAGTGGGACCAAACCAGGCATCATTGCCTTCATTGGTGAAACACAGTTTGCTCCTGGTGATTGGGCTGGTGTTGTTTTGGATGAGCCCATTGGTAAAAATGATGGCAGTGTGATGGGTGTGAGGTACTTTATGGTAAGTACATCAGCTCTAGGAACATTATTTGGAAAAAAAAAATCTTGTAAATGCTAACCCTATCTTTTTTTTTTTGTCAATATGTTTATTACACATGCCTGATTGCAGATATATTTAATTCATAATTTAAAAGCAAAAAAATTAGAAATTATTTTAAATTTTTTTTATCTTGATGAAAATCTTTTGAAATATCTTGATGTAAATATATCAGCACTCAGGCATATGTAATAAATATATTGGGAAAAAAACAACCAAATATTTTTATCAAGTTGAAATTTTAATAATAATCTCTAGTTTTTTGCTTAAAAAACTTCTGATTAATGTTTTATTGTTCTCTATTAAACCTGACATCTATTTTCCAGTGTGAAGCTAAGAGAGGAGTATTTTCTAGGCTGAATAAACTTACACTTACACAACAGACACCATCACGACCCCCTTCACAGGGCCATGATAGTGTTTCTAGTGACTCCAAGATGTCTTCAACACCCAACAACCCAGATATCAAACTGTCACTTCCCACAACTAATGGCACTGCTGCCACTACATCTAGGCCGTCTGTAAGTTTTTGTTGACAGCTACTTACTGTTACATCATAGTTATTAAAGCAATTTATTTATAGAATCTTGATAAAAAAAACACATTGAGATTAAGCGGTTGAGTCTGGCGGCTTTGAGAATTAAATAGTTAAGCATTGTCTTTGATAGCATTGTTAATCATCCTCTATAACTTGTTTGTTTACATACAATCTGAATGATTTCCAGTCACGTCTTGGAATGAGTGCCAGCAAGAACCTCTCCACATCTTCCTCAAGTCTCCACAAAGTCTCATCTGCTGGGACCACACCCACTGGGAGTGGAGGAACAATGCCCATGAGGTTACCTGGCACAATGCCTGGAGGGGTCAAAGTTGGAGATAGGGTAACTAATGATTTTCATGTTTCTTTTAGAACTCTGTGTTATGTACAAGTTGAATAAAGTAACAGAAATATGTCATATAGCTCTTCTATGTACCTATATATATGTGAACTTGTATTTATACTATTTATGTATATGCGTGTAGTGTTAATAAAGTTCAATAAATCTTATTAGGTTTTTGTTAGTGGATCAAAGCCTGGTATTCTACGTTACATTGGAGAAACAGACTTTGCTAAAGGTGTTTGGGCTGGTGTAGAATTAGACGAACCATTGGGCAAAAATGACGGGGCTGTTGCAGGCAAAAGGTAAGAATGACAAATTTACCTGTATCCAGTCTCACAACTGTTTTAACATGATAGAATATATAAAACAATAGAGAACAGTGTTTGAAATTATAAAGTCCATAGCCTTTGTCCCACAGAGCTACACTTTTTGACAACTTAAGAAAAGTTATAATATTTTAATTAATATCTACTGTAGATATTTACTGTGAAATTTCTGTTTTTCGGATGTTTAATATTTCACACTTATACACCAGGTACTTTGACTGTAAACCACTCCACGGCTTGTTCGCACCAGTTCACAAAATCTCCCGTGCTGGGTCAGCAACATCAACACCATCTCCACACTCTCGCCCCCTTATGTCCACAAGTCTGCGTAGCTCACGAGAGCGTAGCGGAAGTCAAGAAAGTGTCTCGTCATTGTCGTCCACCGCATCCAGTGTATCGAGATCGCGGGTAAGGTTGGGCGTCACCTCATTGGCCAACCAGGTACATGCAGCAGTTTTCACATTATTTCCCTTCCTGTCTATCTACTTTTTTTAAACTTGTTTCATCTTGACTGAAAATAAATTCTTCTTAATCTACCATAAGCATCACAAATAAATAAATATAGTTTATCAAATTAAAAATATGATTTATATAGCTTTTCAAAATTATGGACATTTTACTTTAAAGAGTATCTTAAAGCTGTTATTGCATCTCCCAGTTTGTAAATTCAAAATAATGAAAGAATAATTGTCATCAAAAGTTAATTTGTTAATGTCTTAAAACTAAAACAGCAACTTAAGTTTATAGACTCTAAACAACACAAGTAAATTTGTCATGAATAAGTAGTAAATCATACGTACAGCCATGTCACACACTAAGGCAGAAGATAGCTCTGTTTTGTTCTCCAGCTCTGTCAGCTCTCAATTGATTTCTTGTTTTGAATGTGGTATTTCTAAAAATCCAACATGTGTTATAATTGCTCTATTGTGTTTGAATAGTCTGGTCTGAAAATAAGATGATTTTATTATGCTGTTGCTATTATTATAACATACATCTTAAAAGTTTTAAAAATAGAAATACTTCGTAGTATCTTTATTTCAAGTTCTGTTGGCACTTTAAAAGTTTCAAATTGCTTGTTCTAAAGACATTTGTGCCATTTAAATTATTAAATTAGATAAAACACTGTTACATAGTCATGTAACAAAGCCTTTGAGTTTGAAACACATTCCACTCCTCTGTTAGATAAAAGGCTAATTGTTTTGGCTATTATTATACTGTCATAAATTAAACTAGTTAAAGATAGAAAATATTTTTGACTCTAAGCTGTCCCTTATTAAACCTAAATTGTTAAATAAACAGTTAGGGAAAAGTTGTTAGAAATCATTTCAGGCATGCAACTAATTGACTTGATGTGTTTTCTCTGTTGTCCTTTCATCTGAGACCTGTATTGATGATAAGTGTTGTGTTTTTCTTCTAACTGCATGCTGCCCTCTGGTCAGATGCTAGGAAGTTTGAGGGTGATTTAAAACTTGTTTGTATTTGTTTATTTCGATTGCTTTACATTCAATGTTAGACTACAACCACTTTGTAGAGGAGCTTCCTTCTTTATATTTTATATCATTGTTGTTCCATGGATTCTGTTTTCAGTATACACCTAGAGCTATCTTTCAGAAAGAAGTATTTGATTTATTTTTTTATGAATTTTTTTCTCATCACACATTATCACTGACACAGAATTGCTAGTTTATAATCAGGTTATCACAGCAAAAAGATTAACAAGGTTAACTCACTGCATGTACTTTATTCACTTGTTAAAAGTTGTAGTATAAGAGTTAAAGATCTTAAAAACTGATGAGTTTTATAGGAACTTAGGCTAAAGTAAAGAGCTCAAATAGATATTTGTCAATATGAATAAGTAGCTTTAGTTCAATTATCTTCTTCTGTGTATTAAATTTGGATCATCAGTTTTACAAAAGTTGACAGTTATGATCATTTTGAAATCCCTATGATAATTCTCTACCATGGAGTCTATAAAGATAATACTAGTATGGAGATATAGAGTCTGTCTTTTGAAAAAAGAGATAACTACAAAAATAAAGCTCTGTTGATAGTTAAATTGCTACTTCTGTTATTAGAATTAGTGTTTCATGACATCTTTTCTATCTCTTTTTGTGCAATGACCACTTGAGTATGCTGCATGTACCATTGATTTGATCAAGTTTTTTTAAAATTCATATTCTAACGTATGGATCAATTTTTCATTTCAAAACTTTTCTACAGCAAGATGTTACTTTATATTTTGTTTTGGTCTTTTTAAAACACATTTTGTTTTCACTTAACTTTATTAACATTTTGTAGTTTGAATTAACCTAATCAAAATTGAATTTACTGTGTATGCTTAAAATTTAAAAAGAGTGATAAGCTTTACAATGTCCAAAGCACTTCTTTAGCCTTGTTAGCCTTGCTTTTGTGAGAAACACTTGCACATACAAGACATATATACTCAATCAGTTCAGAAAACTTTAGAGTGATTCTAAGAATTGTTGTTTAAATATATCTAAATTCAATATTTTTTGTTTTGTACCTGTAAAAATAAATTTGGCATATCAGTTTTAGTTCTATATTTTAAAAATTAAATTACGAAATTAAATTTTGATAATATCTAAGTCAAATTTTATTTTAAAAAAGATGACAAATAATTTGTGTACAGTTTATTGACTGAAAATTGAAATAATCATAAACAAATAAAGCAAAAATTGTGCAGGAGATATATAAGCCACACTTGACTGAATTGTTAATCAGTTCTGACTGAGGGGGTAGATGTTGTATACTTTACATAGACTGCACTGCATAATAAACGCACCTTAATGAATCTAATCATTTCATTATTACAAAATCACTTTAACTTACTGTCTACTTTAATAATTAAACATTTTAGTAAATTATATCTAAATCTGTAACTAATTAAATTTCTTTGCTTTATTCTGTAACTAATTTTATTAAAAATGTTAGTATGATATAAAATCAGAGCTCACTAACATCAGTAAATCACTTGTTTTGAAAAAAAAAACATTTATACACTAGATTTAGAAAGTAACATGAACCAATGAAACAGAAGAAATCATTTAAAATCCACTGTTGTTAGAGATGGTTATAAAAATATTTCTTAATGGGCTTTTACTAGAGTAAAGCTATATCCAATTTTTTTTTATACTTTTCTAGACTTAACTAAATTTTTTGGAATATGATATCTTATTTTACATCAGTCTGTAGCATCACTTATGTTGAATGGGTGCAAAATTAATTCATAAAAAATTGAATCACAGAACAAATATAATCTGTTTGTTTTTAACAAGTACAAGTGTATCTTGAAGAGTATGTTTAGAAGCTTTGTGTTCAGTTGTATTAGTTTTTAATGGCTAAGTTCTTGTCAGAATTTTGATGAAGAGGCCAATCTGTGTAAAATAAACTAATTATTGGTCAACCTCCAACATAGGATTGTGTGCTCTTGGCATACTCACTATATTCTTTATATCTATACAATTTTTCTAGGCACTATTTGTTGTTTTCTTTTCTTGTTCAGTCTTTAACCCATCAGTTAGTTACAGTTGATAGAGTATTGCATTCTTGGTTTGTTAAAAAAGTTTACCTACCAGTTTTGAGCTCGGATTCAAAATAGACTTTAGTAATATATCTAGTAACAGTTGGAATCACATTTTTTCTTCTGTTTTTACCTTTTGAACCCTGACTGCGAAAATGAGTAGACAGCAGATTCACGTTTTCAAATTATATTATTGAAAATTAGCAGCATATCATTCATAATTATTACAACTCTGGGCAAGTTAGTCATGAGAAACTTAGGGTTCAGAGGGTTTTTAGAAACCATTCAGTGAAGATCAACTTCTCTTTATACACTGTACTATAAATATTCTAGTAGTTTTAGGAGCCTAACATTGGTTTCATTAACACTGATCCCCATTACTGCGCAGGCATCAAAAACTGGACAAAGACCTAGTACTCTTAATTTGTCAGCCACAACTGCTGCGCTTCAGGTAAGTTATGTAACTTGTAATGGTTGGAAAATTCTGACAAATTGGTAAGGAAAGTTCTATGGAAGTAAAATAAGCTATTGAAGAGGTTTTCAAGAAAACTCTGAAACTTGTTTCATACTATAAGATTGAGTATCACTCAAAATGTTCTAAATATTTTTAATGTTTAGTTATTATTCCAAGAAGGTCAAAATAAAAAAAACATTTGGCAGTTCATACAAGTTTTCTTTTATTTTGTTTAGGGTCCGTGCTTTTTTATCATAGTATATTGTAATTTAGCTATTATCTTAGTAATATTTACTTTTGCTTTAAACAAATATTTAACTTTAGAATTGACTAGCTTTTAATCTTATAGAAATCATTATTCAGATACTCCTTAACATTTTATAACTAGCTAATTTTAACATTAACAAAAAGAATCTGTATATAATTTTTATTTTACATATATTGTGTAATGTAAGTAGAAATGCTTTTTACAACAAAAACCATGCATTTAATAAGGTGAATTTGAAAAAAAAATGTTCATTGCCTTGTAGCTAAACAGCTTTTCATATTAGCTTGGTCGCTCTAAGCTAATTTCTGTTCTCTATTTGCTTCCTGCCAACTCTTGAATGGTAAAAATGTTCAAGAAAGTAAAAATGTTTTGACACTTTTAAACATTGAACCACTGGTTAATATTTGTTTACTGTAAATAAGTTTAGTAAAAGTTTTCATCCTGAAGAATGTATGTAATTTTATAAGCCCTGTCTGTGTATTTTGTGTTATTTATTTCAGAAAGCACTGAAAGAAAAAGAGGAGCATATAGAGCAGTTGTTACGAGAGAGAGATTTAGAAAGGTCAGAGGTGGCTCGAGCTGCTGCCCATGTTGATGAGGTAAGGAACCGATACAACTGTGGAGCTGCTGAAATAGAGTTCATAACTACAGTGTTGTGACAGGTCTTTTTATTTTTTTTTTAGGCTGAAGGCCAGTTGAGTTCAATAAAGGCAGAACAAGACAGGCTCCGTTTAGATGCTGAAGAACAGATTGCCAAATACAGGACTATGGTCGCAGATCTGGAAAATGAAAAACAAGAGCTCCTAGCATTTTTGGAAGAGGAAAAACGGTAACACTATAAAAAGAAATCATTTATAAAATTATTCTATCATTAAAGTAACTCTAAAAAGTACTTCATCTAATTAAATTGTCATATTTATGTTATTATGGTTGCTGGAAGTTTATACAAAAACACTAGTAAATGAAACTTTTTTGTTATTTAATGATTTCTACAAAAATCAACATACACAATCAAACTTACATTATTTTTTTTATATAATAATGAACACATTTAAAAAAAATACAAGTAACAAAATGTTTCTTATTTTTAAATTCTTTAGAAAAGTTGAGGACCTGCAGTTTCAGCTGGAAGAAGAAGCACTGAAAGATGAAGGGGAGGTAAATAAATTCAACCTTTAGGTCTTAGATATTTAACTTAATTTTGTACATACCTTTTCAAGCTATTTAAAAATTGAAATGAAAATATCAGATTTATACTGTTATTAAAATTTGCTTGTAAAGAAATTTTAACTGTAGTAATGTATTTTTCAGACCAAATCAGTAGACCCTGCAATAGAGTTGAAAAATAAAGAGTTAGAAAGACAGCTTAAAAAAGAAAAAGATAGGGCAGACAATTTTGAAAAAGAACTTCATCAGTTAAAGGTTGGTTTTTGGATTCTTTGTTATGAAAATGTTCTTGTTTGTGATATGAATTTAATAAGACCTAATTTAATGTTAATTATTATTAATTAATGACATCCCCACTACATCAACAGCAATCGTTTGAAGAACAGCTGAAGGCGGTACATGCAGCAGAAGAAGCACAAACCTCTTACCTTGATCAGATTGAGGAGCTGACCTATAAACTGACACAAACCGAGGCAAAGGTCAAGGCTTTTGAGTCCTCTCGTTTAGAAGATGGTGCCAAGGTACTTAAATCTCGTTTTTAAAAAGGGTTTTACTTTAACTTTAAAAGTTAATTCGTATCAAAAAGAATTAGTATTTTAAAATAAATCTCTCTAGTTCTGTGAACAAATTGACACAAATTCAGATATTAAAGACCTAGCATTTCTCATCTTTGTTATAGAAGTATTCTTTAAAACTGTATTAGAAAGAACTAAAAAGTTATACAACCCACATGTTACACATTGACACTCTGTCACTGCCTTATAATGGTTGATACCAGAATAAAATGTTAAAAGCGGTTTTTTAATTAAACTAAAACTTTGCTCATCATAGTAAATTGAGCTAAAAATGTTATTCCTTATCTCTCTTGCTTCTAGACAAGTCAGGTCAGTATTGAGTTGGCTGAGAAATCAAATAAAGTCAAAGAACTAGAAGAACAACTTGCCCTACAGAGACGAGAAATGTCATCTATGTCTCAACAGCTTAACGATGTTGTGAGTTGTTTTTTTGTTGTTTTTTTTTTAATTTTCTTTACATTTTCTAACACCCTGATAATCTAGCATTCAACTGCTCAGACTTCTTTACTAGCATGGTGTACTATCTTCAATGTTTCATCAGCTTACAATTGCCAATATTTTCTTACGTGCATTATGGCTTGTGCTATGTGTTTGCAGCCAGTATATGTGAGAGATTAACAAGTTGTAGTCTAGATGTAGCAGTTAAATTGAGCTAATTTTAACTTAAGCTCCCTAGCTGATGGGATGAGTGTTGGGGAACCAACATTTGTGATGTTTGTTGTGAAGCATTTTGTGCCAGAATTTTAATGCAGCACTCTATAGATGAATGTCTACTTTCAACAACTAACATTTCAGTCTGCTGATAATTCGTTTTTTCTTTTCCCCCCACCCCCTCCTCTTTTTTCCTCAACACTATCTGTCACATCAAATTTCTAAACACAAATTAAATTTGAACCCCAAACTAATCAACATAGACGCACACATTATTTCAACTTCAGCAAGTGTTAACAGGCATAACATAACAACACTAAAGTCAACTGTATCCACCCCTCCAATACCACCCTGCTCCCACAAAGATAGCTCTTTTATTGCCACACTCCCCAAGCCCTCTGTCAGGAATGAAAGAAGTGAATGAAACTGGATAATTTAAAACAAGTAAGGTAAGGGTCAGACCACACGTTTTATTTATTTTTTTACTCATAACTTTCAAAAAAGATTATCCATCATTACCCTAGCTAATTTCATATCATAAGGTCCTCAGTAATTTATTGCATGCAATCCTAATAATTCCCTCCTTACTGCATGCTAACATCTAACCTCTGTGAATAGCCTGCTATTAACGATTGTTATTTGAACAAGCTAATCGATTTTAAAGCTGTAAGCATTGTATATATATATATATATATTTTTTAAAACATACAATTTTTGCTAAAAATAGTGAATTTGTTTTATTATAAAGATAGTAATAATGATGCTAACCAAAAAAACTAAGAGGATTGAACTTATGTATCCTGATGTGTGCTGCCACAGATGCTTTAAAAACATGCTGTTTCTATGTTTAAATTCTAAATTTGTTTACATTTTAGGTATAGAAACATAACTACATATAATCCTTTCATTTAAATATTTAAAAAAAAAACTATATAAAGGACATAAATGTAATTTGAAAATCCTTGAGATACACACAACTATAGAGATGGTCTGTTAGCTATGTATGGTTAGTAATTTCATTCTGATAGTTAATTAATAAACACAATATTTTTGTTAATTCTTTTGTTATAAAACAGTTTAATAGCTAGATAGTAAACTTTTGTTATTCTATATGAAATTTCACACTTAGTAAAAAAAAAAAAAACAAAGTTACATTTAAGTAGTTCTAACTAATTTTTTTAAAATGACACCTTTGCACTATTGAGGAAAAAACACTACAAAGGGTTGTCACAAGGTTGAAAAATGCCATCCTGCTTTTTACTATCACTTTATTTACAGTAAGCCAAAATTAGGATATTTTGACTAGTAGAAAAAACTTAACACACATAAAATTCAACTTAAAAAAAAAGTTTTTTCCTTAAATTGCTTCCTCTTGGTTTCATTCAAAAGTTAGAGAATTAGAACAGCTTTATTTCATTTGCTAAATTGGTTAGTGAAATTTTGAATACCTGTAGTTTCCTTTTAGTAATTAACCCTTTAGCATGCTATAAACTTTACCATTAATACTTTTTTCACAGTTGTTGTTAACATTTATATTTTCTAAGATATGAATGTGTGGTCTGTCCCTTCCTGCTACTGAGCTAAGAAAGGAAGTTTTAACCTGATTTTAGCACAGTAAAATTTTATTTACAAATATTTAGAGAAAATTTTTAAATTGTCAGCTACTGTTAAATGGGATCAACACATGCTTTTTAAAATTAGCTTTTTAAGTTATGAATTAAGCTTGATTCTAATTTTTTATTCTTTGATTTGTTTTTATTGAAGTGATCTTTCAGTAAATTATGAAATTTTCTACTTAACAGTTGGTTTTGTTTTAATTTTTAAAAAAATGTAAGCTCTGTACCAGTTTTGGTGTGATATATATATTCACTAGCTAAAATAAAAAAGATGTAACTTATTCAAATATTAACACTTAACCTTTGATCAAGTTAAATTGATATGATCAAGTTAAATTGATATGATCAAGTTAAATTGATATGATCAAGTTAAATTGATATGATCAAGTTAAATTGATTATGTAAGGATAATGCAGGTGTAAACCAATTTGTAATAAGTAATTTGAACTCAATGGTATTTTTGTATAGTTATGCTTTAATTGACAAAACAAAAAAAAATACATAGTTTACCATTGGACTAATAATAAATATAAATTATACTAAAAAATAATGTGTTAAAAGTAATTAAAAAACAACACAAATTTTTCTTTATTGTTTTTGCTTCTTGCTTTCTGTGCCTTACTTGCCCTTTTCCATTTTTCAAATCACAGTGAAGAAATTTAAAAAAAAAATGTTTTGCTTATTATTTCAAATAAAATGGGTCTTATTTATTCAAATACAATGAATCTTATTTATGGCAGAGAGATGAGCTTCACACTAGTAATGACAAGAGGAAAAAACAAGAAGAATATATTCAAGGCAAGTTAATTTAGTTTTACTTCACTTTTTTATTTTCAGCATCAGAAATTAATCTATGATATTGTTTTCAGCTTTGATGCTATTAAAATATTTTTAAGTATTATCTTTTTACCTTAGGCACGAATCATCCTAAGAAAAGTAAATAAAGCTGTTATGAATAAACTTTAACTCTGTTTTACACTATTACTGACATGTTATTTCTTTTCCCTAGAACTGAGCAATAAATTGAAGCATGTAGAAGATGAACACAAGCTTGTCATGGATGAGTTACGGAATGCTAATTCTAATTCTGCAGGTAACATTAACCATAGTTTAATTACCTAAAACTATTCAAACTAGTTTTCTGGAAGAGATTTTTCTTTAGTAATTTTATCAATAAGATTTTTTTGTGTGTAAAAAAAAAAATTTAAAAATTCTGTATTTTGTATCATTTGAAAGTGGGACCCTCATATTTACCAATTTGATACTACCACTCTTGTTAACTGTAGATTCTATTCTTGAATACACTCACAGCATATAACTAAACCATAACCATCTTTTCTTACAGACCTTCAAAGGCAGCTTGTGGCAAGTCAAGCCAAGGCAGAAGAGCTAGCATCAGACAGGTCAAAACTGGTATGAAACTGTTCTAATTTATCTGGTCTACAGATCTCTTTAAACCAGTACAGCTGTGTCCATTAGGATATTCCCTTTACTGTTGTGTTACATGTATTGTTTACTTTTAACAGCAATCTGTCAGCTCTCTATCTTAGTACATCTCTTCTTAAATCTTAATCATTTACTTTTTCCAAGGTAGACAACTCTGTGGGGTTTTTTTTTTTTAACTTTTAAAAACAAATTCACTAGTCTATACTAGCTTGTTCTATTTATATAATAAGCAAATTAGTTTTAAAACTAAAAGCTGATGTAGTTTAGTAACCAGTTGAGAACTGTAATATCATTTTCTTAAAATTTACTAATCAACCACATTTATGTACATGTTTTCAATTTGTGTAGAACTATCAAATATTTTCCACTTATAAATGAAAAATCGATTGTGCTTTTATAAAGTAACAGTCAGAATAGACAGACAGACAACTGATCATATTCTTTTCACATGATCATGTGTGCAATCATATAACACATCTAAGATTGCCTTAGCCAGATCATGATTAATGGCTATCATCACATCACCCCAGTGTATTGCCATCAGTTGTATTAATACACTAAATCATAAGGGATGATTGAATGAAAGGGCTGGTCTACGTGGAGATAGTACCTGCTGTTTTAGCTCCATTGTTGGAATATGATCACCATCATTTATATCTAGCATGATAATTTGTTAGTTCTTTAATAGACTGACAATATCATTCAAGTTAGTTATATTTAAACAAATAATTAAGAAGTTATTCAAATAATTTTAAAGGGCAAATTGTTTATAATTTGTTTTTTCTGTTGTATTTTTTATTTAATAAGTGTATGATGAAAGTTGTTAATATATTTTTTTTTGGAATTCCATGCATCATAGCATCGTCATCAATAACTATCATAGTTTAAAGTTGTTGCTCTGCATTGCTTTAGTGACAGTCAGTCGTTGCTTCTCTGTTCTCATTACACATGATGGAGCATTAATTCATTTGGGTCTCAGTGTGGTCCATCAACTCACAGCTGACAAGAACCTGTTCATTCTCTACAGTAACTTGTTTAGCATTTTAAAAATGTGTTTTTAATCTTTTATAATGCTTGGTATAGAGATCTCTTAAAATGGTTTAATAAACCGTAGTAAATTTTTTTGCTGAGTCAGCATTTGATGATTGACTAAAGCTGCTGTTGAGTGGACCACCCTGGCTACTAAACCCATCATGTTGCTAGTGACCTGCAGTCATTTGTTTGTTGCTGCTTGTTCCACTGACTGCTTTAGATGTATTTCCATCTGTCCCTAATGACCAATCATAAAACACTACCCCATTTGTCTGTATTCTGACATCTAGTAAATAACACATACATCTTGAAGGTGAACCAGACCAAATATTTGACATTTAAAAAAAAAAATGCAACTTTTTTGAAAAACAATCTGCAATTTAAAGATAAATCCAATTAAGATAGTTCTACATATTGTTTTTTTTTTTGTTATCCACAGGGTAAATTAGTGCACTTTTAAAATCTGTCACCTCTTTGTTGCATCTGATGGTGTATATGTTTTTTTTTTAATTTACATTTTCTCTGTTACTTTAGATCTAATAAGTTTCAACAAAAGTAAAGTTCAATCATAAGTCTTATTTATTTTAAATAATAACAATAACTGTTTTTAAAAAAAACTCATAATTCATCATATAGAAAATTTATCATTCACATATGATATAATTTAAGAAACAATAGTCAGGCTTATTTTTCATAGAAAAGTGACAATGTTTATCTATAATAAAATTAACTGCAGTAGTTTCACCTAGTGTATTAATATAGCTGTTAAAATGCCTTATAAGGTGCTATCACAGCACAGACAGATTTTGATGTTACTGGATTATGTATTGGATCCCAGTGAACACCAAGATGTTTTCCCAGAATTCCTTTCTAGCCTCTTTCTGATGTCCAGAAAGCATAACTGGCTGTCACACTGAGTGTGACGAACACTTTTTCCATCTCCATTGTACCCAATTTCATATTCATTGTCGTCATGATTGTGGTCATTTTGATGCTAACAGGAGAAGCAGTTGTCGGAACTGATGAAAAATTCAGGTGACAGTTCAAGTCAGCTGGCGTCAATGAATGATCAGCTGATGGAAAAGAATAGGTTAGTTGGCAGCCACTAATCCTCTCCACTCTTTGATTCTGTGGCATCATACACTAGGAAAGCTTGACTCAAATTATTTTTTTCTAACATTTAAGTTGGACACATATACTACTAACTAAAAACATTCTTTTATGAAGTAAGTCTAGTTTTCAGTGGTAAATTTAGGTCTTTGTGTATGATCCTAGCAATCAAAGAGTTAACATCCCCTTCTATCTGCAGTACCCTATTATCCTGTAGTGTTTGCAGTGGTGAAACCTCTCAGTTGATGAAACATTAACACACAGAAATATCAATTAGTAAAGTTTTAAACATTCAGTCACGTAATCTAATTCAGGATAAATAGCTAAATAAATTAGAGACATTAAAAACAGATTTTGGTTTTATTTTGAAAATTGTTGTGTATTTTAATTTGGCATGATGCTGGTTCATATTGGATGTTTTTTTTTTTAAATTTTAAGTGTTTGCCATCCAAAGTCCTCTGTTTACAAATAGCTTGGTCCATGTTAGTTAACTGATTGGTTTCATCACTCAACAGTCACATTGTTTTGTTTTTTTTTCTACATAATCCTCCAACTAAAATCTACTCAATGTTTTATTCACATTGGTTTTAAGTTTGAGGGTTATGGCTAGTAGTCTCCCCTAGTTACCTGTACTCACTTGATGCTTAGCTTGTAGACATGTATCTCTGTGTACTTGCATGAGTAACCACCAACTAACTGGATCTCTTACACTAAAAACATTTTGGTATGGAGATTTCAGGTAACAGCCAGATGCAAGTTTCATCAAATTTCTTTATTGCTTCACTTTTAATACTTATGTACAGTTTCATGCATTTTTAAGGGAAAGACATTTCCCATGTATAATTCGTACAATGTCTTTCTGTGCATGCACAATTTTAATTTATGAAGTAAGATATTTTTTATGGTTAAAAATACTTCTCTATCCCTTTTCAATGTTTTATCTATTTAAAAATAAATTATTTTAAAAAATTGTAAAACTATAACCTTTGTATATATTAACTATGTCTTTAATTTTCTAACTTATGTTGTAACTAACATGGTGAACACTAAAGTTGTCTGTCATAATGGTCTTTCACCACAACACATACTGGTGAAAACTCAAAATGATATCTTTGTTTGATTGTCTCTGTCTTAATTCTCTGTCTTAATACGGGTTCTTCTGTGTTAAAAAATTCTCTACACCATGTGATGGGTACTAACAATAATATAATTTTTTCTGTCTTAATACGGGTTACTCTGTGTTCAAACCTCAGGTAAACAGAAGAAAATTACAATAGCCAAGAGGGTAATATAGAAGCATTACGTATACTCTGTATTCTTCCCCATATAATTATCTTTAAATTAGTAAGATGATGTTTCTAGCCCAATGTATGCATAGTTTTAAAATTTTTAGTCCCAACAAGCACTTTAGAGAGATGTTCAACTAATGGATGAAAATCTAAGCCCCAAATAGATGCTTCTTATGTATACCATGTTCTCTCCTTATTTACTTTTTGATGAAAATTATCTTTTGTTTTTTTTACCAGTGCATACTGGCAACCTGTTTATCTTATCTGGCAGCAAGATATGCATGTTATAATATTGATCATTACCATGGCAACTGTATTGCCATATTTCACACAACCTGCATATAACAACACCACCCTGTATATAGTGAAAATTTATTTATATGAGTACACTATTAGCATGGTATGTAAACGAATGAACATACAATTGCTAAATATTAAATTATTTGACAAAGCACACAGCATGATTTTAAAACTTGGCTAATAAAAAAACTAACAGGCATGTTGAAAAGTGTGAACCTTTTGTGAGGGGCTTTGTTTGAGCAAGTTTACTGACCAGTGTTACAGTTGGCTAATCACACAAGTGTGGAGAGCAAATTTTTCTCTCTAACTTCATGCGGGGTTCTATTTCCTTTGAATGAAGATTTGAATTAACTGCTATAGGACTGTGTGAACAGATTGGCCATACATATGTATGCTCAACTCAATCTGCCTTGTGACTTATTTTAGACATTTTAATTGTGTGAGGCAATAGTTTATGTCTTAGATTTGCAGAGTGGCTTTCTGGCATGTCAGAGTTCTAGTACAACTGTAGTTTGACTGACCAGATGTATTAACACTTTGAAGACTGACCACTTGAGATGCTGGTATAGTGGACCACTTGTACCAATTTTGGTATAATGCTTGTATGATGGACCACTAGTCTTCAACTCTTTTATAAATGCAACCAACTAAGCGATTGGTACCAAACAGGTGTAACTGACCAGAATTGTCAGACAGGTGCCTTGGTTCTTGTGTGTACTCTCATTCTGCACCAGAGATTGATCTTAGTTGCACACTGACTAAATCACATTTTGTTCCTGCTGTGAAACTTTTTAACGTTGTGTCCACTATCTTCAGATGCATCATATTCTAGCAGGTGCAGCCTTATTATTCTGCTTGTTTGGTTGCAAGAGCAACACACATCTTTTGTGCATTATATTGAAGTTTCATTGCATTAGCTGCTGTATATGCTAGTAGTATGCATTATCTGTCATAAAATTATTTGTTATAGAAAAATAGTGTCAAAATGTCATGTAACAGGAGATAATCATGCATTACTTTGTCCTGATTTTCTTTATTAGCTAATTGTTTTAGTCGTTGATATTGTTTGCTCAAAATTAGAATTTTTTAATTCAATTTACATTTATTTTCTCAAATTAATTTCTAAATGAAAACTTAATATAGCTAAGTAATAGAAATTAAAGGCTAGATTTGATTTAAATGTTTTGTTAGCTTTTAAAGCCTAGAGCAGTGGTTTTCTTGGTTTTTATTTTTTTAAACTGATCAGTTGCAATTAATGGTGCTTATTTTTCTCAATCCCAATTTAGACTTTCTTGCTTTCAATTTTCCCAAATTTGTAGAAAAACCCAAGGCTTATTGTTCAAAACATTTCTTTTTACAATTTTATTTTTACATAGTATAATTTGTAGTAATTAGCTACCTAGATGTAATTAGATGTCTTAAAATTTGTATAGCGATTTTGGTCATGTAACTGCTACGTCATGAAATTAACTAAATGCCCTCGAAAATCCATATTTTGTTTCTTACTGTAATGTAAACTATTGATAATAAAATGTTCCTTTTTTATTTTAATTGGGAAACTCACAAAAGGTATAAAACACTGCCCTAGAATCTCTGTGTAACTTTTTGTTACTTTGTTGTGTTCCTGGGTTGAGCACTGCTTGTCAAAATCACTAAAAAGTCTTCCTTGTTTGGAGATGTTTCTGTACCATAAAGCAATAATAAGTAAATCAAACAACGAGCATCTCAGCCCAGGAAACAAGAAAGATAATTTCCTCACTCTGTCCCACAAAATCAAAGCTCTGCAAATGAAAATGGCAAACGCTGTTGTTGTCTCCTTTAGAAAAATCGAGGATCTACTAAACGACTTGTCGAGCTCTTCTCAAAATCTAGCTAAAGCAAAAGAAAACTATGAGGTTTTACAGCAGGAGAAAGATAGGGAAATTCAGGAGGCTAAACAAAATTTTGAGGGCATCATTGCCAAACTGCAGGACCAAGTTAAGGAATTAGTGAGTATTTGTTGGTGATGTTGTTTTAAAAAACATCTCTCACAATGTTGTATTTAGTTGTGTTATGTGCCTTTAAACCCCATGATCTGCTTGAGTAAACTTACAACAGTTTTATTTTTATCTGTGTTATTAGTTCTGCACATATGTGAACACAAAATAGCTGTTGGCTATTAAAGTAATTAACAGAATTACTGAGAAAATGTTATATGTTACACTTTAGTATGAAATAGATTAATAAGTTATATTCTTTCTTACATTCTATCAAATATAACATCTATTTCATATTTTATTTTTTTCATTAATATATTGATAAAAAAAATTATTCCCTAGAATGAAACAGTAGAAAAATCTAAAGCCAAAACAAACCAGTTAGTAGAAAACTTAGCTAGTGAGAAAAAGGAGGCATTAGAGCGTAAGGAAGCTGAGATTAAAAACTTGCAACAAGAAGTTTTAAATATAAGAGATGAACTTAGTAAACAAGAGGACAAAACAACAGCACACAAACAGTTACTAGACAGGGTGACTGCAGAGAAGGAGGCTATGCAGGTCAGTAAATAGATGACTTAGTGTAGAATTAAGGGTGGAAGGGGCACTTAGGGGGCTTGTGTAGAACTCAGTAAACTATAGGGTGGGTCATATTGGTTGATGTTGATCATTCTAAAGCTCTACAGTTTACAAGATGTAGAAAGGAGGCATGCATAAAATAAATGTAGATCTACATTAATTTGGAAGTTTCATTTTTTTTTTTTTTTTTGGCTTTTAGTGTGTTGAGTGTTCAATAAAATTAAACCCAATATTAAGATATGTCAGTTATTTGTTTTTGTTAGAAGAAAATATTATTTTGCTGGGGAAAATGTTCTTTCAGAATAAATGTTAATGTGTGGTTTTATTTTTTAACCTGAACAGTATGAGAAACAACAGGCAGAAAAACATTTGAAGAGGGTAGAGGGAGAGAAGGCAGCACTGAGTACAGAGCTGATCCAGGCAAGAGTTGAGGCTACCAACCTACAGGAGCTGGTCAACAAATCCAAGGGAGCTAGTGTGGGACTGGAGGACAAAGTGGAGAAGTTGACACTGGAAGTTGAGGTCATGACTAAAGCTAAACAAGAGGTAGCTCTTTACTATGGTTTTCTTAAGCAATGTTTAAAAAATATAATCTGTTTGGCACAATTTGATTTACCTTAAATAAATATAGATACTTCTTCATTCTTAATTTTGGTGTTGGAAGGAAACCCCTCCAGCATAATTAAGTATACGTGACAACTGGTAATGCGCCATTGAGGCCATTGACTCCTATTTCAGCCTGCTTTTCTTTTTAGATTTGCTGCCATAGCTTTTGTCCAACCAAGTACAAACTACAAGGCAGCAGTTGTTTGATTTTGGAGTTTTCTCTCCTAAAAGAGTGGCTGTCCCCAGCTAACGAGCCTCATCTGCCTGAGGGTTCGAACTCGAGACTTTTCGATTTAGCAACCATGAGCTTTACCGACTCAACCACGCTAACCCCTAATAGAGATACTTAAAACCTATGTGATTAAAGCAGTGTGGCGTGCTTTAAAACCTAGAATAATTTTGGGTTAACATTAACTTGTTCTACTACTAATCAGTCCGCTACTCTAAGCTTGTGTTTTCAGTTCTGAGAAGTCTCCACTAAATTTGTTGTTTGGCTGAGAATTCTCCTTAATTTCTGTTCTTTTTTTGTTTATGCTGAGGTCTCAAAGATTCTGTTATTGTGTCGTTTAGGCTGAGAAGTCTCGTGATGAAGCCAAGCAACAGAAACAGGAAGTGGCTCAAGAAAGAGACCTACTGCAGCAGGAGCTGGTCCAGCTGAGGGGAGATGTCCAGAAGAGAGACATTCAGCTGGAGGAGACAAAGAAAGAGGTATGGACTTGTTCTACTAGCATTGCTTTCAGCTATCAAGTTACTGGAGACTTGTCAGTGCTAATTAGGTTACCACAACTGTTACTCTTAGGGACTAATTGCTAGATAAAGTCAATATTTAAAATAATTTTCAAATATTGCAAATGTAAGCTACTGAGGTTAAGGTTGATTACATTATTTACATCATGTATTTAACAGTTGGACAAAATCAAATTGGAGTCCACAAAGAAAGCTGAGGAGCTGATGGTGAAGTCACAGACTGAAACAGAACTATTGACACATGAATTGTGAGATCAGCATTTCATTAACTCATCTGTAAATTTAAAAATTATCTTTTTTTTTATGTTGCACATTTCATGACTATGTTACTCCCGTGTTGCAGGGGATCTCTAAGAATATCATTGCAAGAAGCCAAGGATTTGGCAGAATCTAAAGAATTCCAGCTAGCTGAATTGCAGGCAGAGCTGGATCAGTTGAAAACTGTTGTACAGGAGAGAGATCTGGTAAGTTGTTGACATTTTAAAGATACTTTAACCCCACATACTTAACAAAACATAAGCTAGTAGTAAATTAACAACACTCAAAAAGTATAGAGCATTGTTTTCTTAATCCAGGATTTTCTAGCAGTCTATCAAACATTTACCCAAATTTGTTGATAAGAAAATTCTTTGAAATAAGTTCATTCTATACCCTTGGTTTGTTATTCACAGCTGAGGAAAGAAAAAAGTGAATTACTGAAAGAAAAGGAAGCTGTAGAAGAAAAGTAAGTTTTTTTTTCCTGCTTCAAAAATTGGTTTAAAAATCAATTTCTTGCTTACTTTTTCTCAACGTGATTTTCATGATCTTGGTTTGAAAACTTGAATGATTGGTCAGGTTTCTTTTTTTTTCGCCTGGAATGTTTAGTTATGTTTTGTGTTCTTGTGGATTTTTTGTGGTTGGCAATAATTTTAATAAATTAAGTTAGCGCATTTAAAGTGATTAAATTTATTGAGTTGTCTTTGAAATCCAAAAACCATGGTTTTGATCTTTGGTGTTAAAAATTTAAAACATGTCTGTTGAAATAATTGCAAATTATGTATTAAGTTACAATAATTGAGTTTCTCCATATTCCAAATAGTATACATTGTAATTTATATTTTATTTGAATTTAAATAGTCTAAAGCAGTTTCAAATAATTAAATAAAAATGTATGCTTTTAATTGCCACTAATCCCTTGAATTTGATGAACATTTCATTGAGCGGATTTGTGCTTGACATGTCAACTAATTTCATCTTATTGATGGTAAGATTCTACATCAGGGCAGTGTGTAGTGGCTTGTTTAGCTCAATGGGCTTTTATTTGGTCCTTTTTCATAGGCATGTGCACGCTACATGTAGACTTACAAGATGTTTTTTCTTTAACTTGCTTAGCTGTAGTCAACTGTGGATGGCACTCAAGGTTTATAGTGCTGGTATACAAATCACACCCTGTATTGTCTTATCTAGAACTGCATCATTTTGTGTTGTGCAGGCTAATAATTGTGTCTGTCTTTTTAGAATATCTTAAAAGGTACTACACTTAATTCTGTGATGTTTTGTCTGAAGGCGATTACATTGTTCTTGTCTAATAATTGTATCTGTTTTGTCTGAATATCTCAAAGGTCATTACATTGTTCTTGTCTAATAATTGTATCTGTTTAGTCTGAATATCTCAAAGGTCATTACATTGTTCTTGTCTAATAATTGTATCTGTTTAGTCTGAGTATCTCAAAGGTCATTACATTGTTCTTGTCTAATAATTGTATCTGTTTCGTATCAAAGGTCATTTACATTGTATCTGTTTTGTGTATCGGTTTTTATTTGTGTTTTTTTGTGTGTATATTTTAGTCTGTATATTAGTTTTGGGGATACTTATTAAAATGTTGGTAGGAGATTTGAGGCTATATATTTCCTAGCCTTAACACAGACCCTCATTCTATGTTGCTAGTAGTCCTACCTTAGTTTTGACCTTAACCCTAATTCTGAACTTAGCCTCTGACTGTAATAACAATACAAGTGTAGAAGAAACTTTAATAGATATTGTCTACTAGGGTTTCTATTATTTTTTTTATATCAGCAGCAGATATTGCCTTTGTGCAAACATGTATTGTCCTTGTGTTTGAATATTGTGTTTGTTTTGTTTTGTTTACTGTACTTACCATTTTAAAGCTTTTCTTTTTTACATTTTTTAAAGTCTTTTTTTTTGTATAACCTTTTCCTACATCTGTGGGGTTTTTTTGTACTTGAATCTAAAATATTATCTAACTTGTCAATTTAAAATATTTTTTTATTCATGATTTGTGTGCAAAGGTTTTTAAAATCCTAATCTCCATTCCCTTAAATGTACATTTTAAAAGATAGTCTATATTTCAGCTTCTGTTTATGTAAAAACAGCATTTTATTTTTAAAATATCTGTATTTTTAAATATTTGTTTTTGCTGTTATTGTTTAAAGTGTATTTTAATCTTAATTTATTTTTTAATTAACTAGGGTATAGGAGGAGAAAAAGTTTTAATAATTTTTTAGTGCTTGGGTTAATAAAGCAAAATACTAACATTTTTTTTCTATAAGTATATTTCAGGCTTGGTATTTTTTTTCAGAAAGTAGACAATTTTAAAACTATTTTTCATCTTGCACTGGATAAAACAGGGAGATAACACTTGTCAAATTAACTCATGGAAAAGAAAAAGATTTCACATGTTGATAACCTTTGCATGATAAGCTTGTTTTCTTTGTGAATCCATTTCATTGCTTTTATCTAGTCGTAGATGTGGCATTTATATGCTTGGTAAACATTTTGTCATGATCTATAATGAAAATGACTTTAAGCTTGATTGTAAAATAGCTGTTGTTTGGTAACTTTAGTCTACAAAGGCCTGAGGTCAGTTAGCATCTTCTAGCCAGTATATTTTTTTTTTGTGTGGAACTATCTTTCAAATAAGCTCTATCTTGTAGTTATTTTCAAAAATTTGTTCCAGACCATTTAAAAGCTTTAAGTACTCATTAAAAACAAAATTTAAAAAAAACGGATTTGATTATTTAGAAAGTTTTTCTTCATAATGTTATGCATATTTCTATATATCTGTTGTTTCTTTGCATAGGTGCAGGCAATTTATCAAGGAAGTTGACAAACATTCAACAAAGGTAGGTAACTAGCATTGTATAAGATCTGTATATGATAATGTTGGCATTTTAATCAATCTTTTATTAGTAAATCCTTTGACTATCTTACTGTAGACTATAAATACAAATGGGAAGATAGATCTCCATTTTACCTTTTTTTATTTCCCTTTACTCAATCTTAATAATAAATCACTTAACTTAATTACTGTACACTAAATATGGAAAAGTGAAGATGTACTTCAATCTATTTATAAGATATTGTTCTCTCTATCTGTTTATTTTTAAGATATTGACCTTATCCATTTCCCCTTGATCAACCTCCCTTAGGTCAGTGAGTTGGGCTCTGAGATGAAAACATTACAAGCATCTGAAGGCTTGCTGAAGAAAGAAAAGACAACCCTGGAGAAAACAATCAAACAATTACAGAGTGACTTACAGCAAACTCAGCACAGTTTAGCAGAGGCCCAGAGTAAAGCAGCATCTAATGCAAGCATGATTTCAGGTAAGAGATAAGGATATTATTTGTTGCTAGGTGTATGCTTGTGTGTGGGGTTTCAAAACATGTATGTAACAATTTGCTTTTATGTTCATATTTATGTTTCTTTAGTGTCTCTGATTTGGGTATAAAACTGGTATTAGTATGTTAGTATAGTATGTTTTGTGTCGCAGTTGTTTAACTGAACATTTTGAATATGCAGGTGATGAGGTTTATCAACATTTAAAAGATGAGGCGGACTCGGCTAAAGGACAGGTAGATTTCTTAAACTCCGTCATTGTGGAGCTGCAGAACAAAAACCAGGAGCTGCAGCACAGGCTTTCTGTCATGGAGGATTCTGGGATACACACTAATGGGGAATTTACTGAGCCATTAGAGTAAGATTATCCCTCTACTAATCATCCTTTGTTTTCTGTGGGTTTTTAAAAAATATTTGTTACTGTCTACAAATGTGATATTTATTAGAATCTTATGTAACTGGTGAAATTTGGGCAGGGAAATCAAATTTAGACAATTTTCACATCCGATGTTTGTTTATCATTTGTGTACTTTTCACTAGATACAAAACTCTTAAGGTTTACAACTGTTGTATGTTGATTACTTTGTTAATCTATGACTGTAACAAAAAATGAGTTAAGACATCCTTAAGCAAAAAAAATAAAATAGATTTTAAAAGTAAATCTAAACTGAAGTTGATATTTATAATCATAAGCCCTGTATTAGACACAGCTGCCCATTATGTTCAGTTACATTAGACCCCATTTTAGCTGTATAAGTGAAGCCTCTCCCTTGCAAACATCAGCTGTGTGGAGATAGGAGCCTGATACATCTGGCTCTTCTCAAGTTAGGGCCCAGGGTTTCACCTTGATTACCAAGTTGCAATTATCAAATACTCTACCAGACAATATGGCCATTTATTTATTTTATTACCCCCGCTGTTAGACCAACAAAGATGACTATTTCTCACTTACCGTTCAAAACTCCACTAACAAAGATGAGTGTATTTGTTACTCCCCTTTCAGAACTCCATCAAGAAGTCGCGCCCCACCCAGATTGTTCTGTGATATCTGTGACGTGTTTGATCTTCACGAAACAGAGGACTGTCCCAAACAAGCAATGTCCCATAGCCCTGAGCCCACTCGTCACCATGGAGATCCTAAATCACCTCGGCCTTACTGTGAAATATGTGAAGGTACATTTTCTCACCTTTTAAAACTACTTTATCTCTGTAGCATTGTAGACCATACAAATTGTAAGACATTAAATATATCTGTAAAATTATAGATCGTATAATTTTTGGACCGGCTACAATCAGATATTTTTTCATGAGTAAAATTATGGGCTGTTTAATTTGTGGACTATCTACTTTACTATTTATTTCATCAGTAATTCAATGGACCATAAAATTTTGGTCTACATTTTGTTTACAATTGCATTAGATCTATTATTTGAATCTCTTTCATTGTCCTGTACTTCTAATTCCTCTCTATACACTGTGGGGAAAAAAACCTGGACCAATGAAAACCATTTTTAAGCATGGATGTGTGATACTGGTGACCAAAAAGATGCACAACGGAAAACTGTGCTAAAAAATTTTGGAAGGGCATTTTGTTTTCTTAAATCGGATATTTTCTGACATTAACAAAGAATGACCACATATAACTTGTAGCATAATTAAACACTTCCACGAAATATGACAAAATTAAAGTTAGTAAAATAAGTTTGTAATTGCTCAGTTTTCCGTTGTGTGCATTTTTCTGGGAACTGTGATACTCTTCACTTGTGAGCAACTGCCATTCATCATCCCCTTCACCTACCCTCATGTAAGCATTGGATCTGAATGCAATTTTTTTTATTTGCCTCTTTTTTTCCAGCGTTTGGGCATTGGACTGACCAGTGTGATGATGAACAAATGTTCTAACATCTCAAGTTGTTCTCAACCCACCTTAACCACCCCTTGTGTGTCTAACCACTGCACTGTTGTTGTTGTTGGTTTGATCTTACATTGCACAAAGTCTCCTGTAGGGACTGTCACAACCACTAGTACACCACATGAATAGCTGACCTACAACTAGGGCTCATCTCTGTAGTCTGTTCTTAAGTAGATGACAAGGCCCCTAAAGTGGGAAAACATAATAATAGTAGTATGTTTTAGATAAACGGAATTGGATGTAAAGGTGGCCATATTACTTTGGACTGTCAGTTGACCAGATATTTGAAATGTCAGTTGACAGATATTTGAAATGTCAGTTGACAGATGTTTGAAATTTCAAATTTTTTACTGAAACTATACTGTTAAAAGAGGAAATACTGCTGTTTGGTTTTCCCAAGTTGATCAAGAAATACTCAACATATCTAAAAGAATAAAGTAATCTGTTGTTTTTATAATGTTTTATATCTAAACAGATTAACTGTAGTGAAACAAACAATTTGTTCTTGTCTGCATATTTTGGGCATCAGCTCTAATAGTGGTTAGATGAAATGATTTTCTAAAGACTAGCAAACTGGCTGAGACTTTTTTCTATTGTTGAATTTGTTATGTCTTAAACATTTTCCCGTCTGATACATTTCCATAGATTCTAATTGGAGTTGCAGTTCTAATTAGAATGAAAGCATAAAGGATGATAAAATTATTCCAAGAATGAGTTTGCCTCCTGTAAAACATCCTTTAGTCGAGCCTGTACATTTCTTGTTGTATGTTATGTAAGTAACAAGCAAATATTGTACATGATGAGCTATTTATTGGACTGAGGGCTGTGTTACTATAATATACAGGGTATTGTTTCTCTCTAGGCAGATTGACTGTGGGTATGCATGTGCATAGCTTTAAACAGCAAGTTTTCAAAATATTTAAACAAGACATGTTTTTTATCTAAAATATGACCTTGTATGAAGTGATGATTTTTGTTTGCTGGTTATAAATTGAGATTCATTGCTACATGTGTGTCTGTCTGTGTGTTTGTATGAGTAGAACAAGCATCTGGTTTATAAATATCTGCCTAGAGATAAATGAAAGAAACTGTACTGTAACCCTTCTGTTTCTCCTGCCTACCTTGAAAGTGTTATCTTGTATCAGCAAGTATTCCATTCAAGGGATTAACATAATATGTTTAATCACACATGTTATTGTAATTACTTTGTACATACATGTCTTGAAGCTTCATTATGTTTAAACTAAATATGCATGGATACAAAATATTACAAGCATTCAGTGTTTGTATTATGACTAGTAGATTTTTTTTTCTATTCTACTAATGATGAAGAAAAGATTTTAGCTGACTAGTAACCTAGGTGTGAAGTGTGTTAATAATTAATTAACAACCTTTTGACTACACCATTGGCTGTAGCCATGGTTGATTAGTAAAACCAGGAAGTTATTTGTAGTAGCGATGAAGTTATTGATGACCATCACTGATAGCTGCTAAGTAATGGAACTGTTGAATGTTGACCAGAGCAGACTGCCCTATATGTGGAGTGCTGGATCTTCGCTGTATATAGATTTGTATATGTCACGTTAATTATGAGCAGATCTAAATGTGAGCCAATCATGTCAAAACTTTATATCACTTTTTATTGTTGGTTGTGAAAAGTAAATGGAGAATGTCTGAATCCATTTTATTGATGAATGTTTGAATGTCATTTTAACAACCTTGATGCAAGTGGTTGTCTATAATTTGACATGATTTAGATCATACATAACTCTCAACAGGCTGTGTCATTGATCTTTTTTGTCAGCAGCATTGTGTCATTGCTCTATACTTGTCTGCAGCATTTTGTCATTGTTCTATACTTGTCAGCAACATTGGGTCATTGTTCTATACTTGTCAAGTACATTGTTCTATACTTATTCTATACTTGTCACCAGCATTGTGTCATTGTTCAATACTTGTCAGCAACACTGTTCCTTACATGTCAGCAACATTGTTCCATACTTGTCCGCAACATTTTTTGTCATTGTTCTATACTTGTCACCAGCATTGTGTCAATGTTCTTTACTGGTCAGCAACATTGTTACATACTTGTCCGCAACATTTTTTGTCATTGTTCTATACTTGTCCGCAGCATTGTGTCATTGATGTTTTACCATCCCCCTGAGTGGTGACCCACCAGCCATTCCTTACAGCAAAGACTTCCTTGGCCATCTCATGCTTTGTCTGTTTGCCTTACACCAGTCCTCCTTTGTTTGCTCATTCATTGTGCCATAGTTGGTTGACAGCTTGCCAGTGCTTTTTATGTTTTACAAGTCTTTCTTGGGTTTTATCACTGCTCAACTGTCTCATTGGTCTGTTTGCTCTTGCTTTCCCTGTAATACTGTATAGAACAGCATGGCACATTCAATTCTGTTCTATAATTAGGCTATTTGTGGTTGGATATTACTGTTTGAGTTTTGAAGCGATGTTAAATAGTGGGAACCCCTCCCTCATTTATAGGCTGATCTGCTATGCACCTTCGGTCATTCTAAATTATTATGTTAAAGACAAGTATCTGCAAGGCTTAGCTGATCTTCTGTCAACTTTCCAAAAAAGTATTCAATTTCTAAAAGAAAATCTTCTAATTGAAATGTGGTACTGAAAAATAAAATTAATTAAAATGATTGCTTTAATAAAAAATAATAGTATGTGTATAAATAAGTAATTAGAAAAAAGATAAAATTAAAATATCAAAGTCCTACAATCTCTTTCACATTAGTTAGGAAATTCAAGAGGAGCAAAACGACTCAATCTGTATTTGTTCACAAACGAGAAAATAAAGATTAAAATTATGGGATAGAACTGGTGATGGCAGTGATCATCTCCCCTACCTCAGGTACACTAGTGGAATAGACTGGCTTTGTAATTAATGCTGTACTATATTTATTTAGATAAGAAAGCTCCACATAAACATTTTAAATATTTCAAATGCATGAACAGAGAATATGTGATGGCATCATTGAATTTAAATTATTGTTTCCCTTATGCCAGGAAAATGTGAATAATTTAGACCAAACCAATATTTTAGAACCGCAACAAATAATTTTAAAATTAATTTTTAATGGTTTATGACTTACCTCTTGATGCTTCATCTTATTTATTATATTATCAAATCCTACTCAACTTATTAAAAAATTTAGATCACACTTATAAACCTTAAGAAGTACTTGTAAATTATACTTCTTTCTATTAAAATTATATTACATGCATGTATAATAATTTTATTCATAGTAATCTCCCTTTGACAAGAGAACCTGTTGAACAGTGTCATATATGTAGATGTAAATAGTTCATCTAACTTTGTGTTTATGGACACAAATAGATTTTTATTGAACTCTTGTAAACTTACTTTGGACTTAACACTGGTGATAGGGGTGTTGTTTAGACCGTAATTGATTGTGACATATTTATATTCTCAATTAATATTATGTCTACATTGACCAGTACAATTTTTTGTTTTAATGTTAGGAAAAAAAATGTTTAAGTAATGTTTTTAATTTGTAGAAAATTTAATTACCTGCTGTTTTTTTTCTCTGAGCTTTTATCAAGACTGATTAAAATTTAGACAGTAGCATTAAGGAGATATTTTCAGGAAACTCTCTGTCATGCTTTATGGCTTGTTTTAGGTGCCTTTTTTTTTTCCAAACATTTTTTTGCTTTAGTTGATGAGTTACTGCCCTTGTTAGCATAAAATGATTTCTGTGGCAGACACATTAATTTAAGCTGCTTGGCTGAGTGATCTTGTTAGTTTTGTACAGATGTGAAATCATGGAGATTTGTAAGAAAATATAAAATACAAACACTGAACTTTGTTTTGTTTTTCCTCTCTGTTGATGCTGTTATATGTTTGTCCACTTATGTAAGAAATATTTGTCAATGTCTGTAGCATATTTGTCTACTTAAGCACAAAGTGGAATATTTTCAATGTCATCCAGTTACTGTACACTGTACAGTGTTACTGATCTGACTAGGAACATTAAAATATCTCAGGACTCTCTTCCTTGTGCTTGTTTCTTTGCATGTTCCTCTCGAGTGCAAAGATGTGTGCTGATTCAAATGGATTTTCCCCTAATATTTTCTTGATAGTTTTTTTTTTGTCTTGTGCATGAGCTGACATTCAGAATGGTGATTTTTAACTTGGTTTTTACAAAAGATATTACAAAGATGTTCATAAAATTTATCTTAAGGACAATTCTACATTATTAAATAAATAAAGCCAGTTATTTTAAGAAAATCGAACCTAATACAATGTGCAGAAATTTATTTTTTTTAAACTGAAGTTTCTCTAGCATGAGTTTATTGTATGCTGTGACCTGCAAGATGGCTAGTTCTTCACTATCAGCATGATTAGTGCCAGATTTTTTCTAGCATCAAAGACTACTACTGGGTTTTTAAAGAAACTGAGATTACTTTCTATCTCAACATTAACTCTCATTTCAGGCATCCAAATATATTTCAGTATGCTCAGAAGTATTTTAATTCAGACTTTTTGTAATTACACTTCCAGTTTTTACAGATTTGTGTGATTGTTCATGTGACATGCTAGACTTGATGTTGGTTGAAAGTCAGGACAATGGCTACTGTTTGCACTCTGGCAATCTGCATACGGTTGATTCAGGCCTGTGTGATACAGCACACAAGGAAATGATGAGCAGTGACGATACTCAGTCTGATTTGTCTAGCTTGAGCTCAGACCCTGGTGATGACCCGCTCCATGTAGACGCAAGTCATGACCCGCTCCATGTAGACGCAAGTCATGACCTGCTCCATGTGGACCCAAGTGATGAACTGCTCCATGTAGACCCAAGTAATGAACTGCTCCATGTAGACGCAGATGATGACCCGCTCCATGTTCCCAGTAAAGACCCAAATGATGACCCGCTCCGTGTAGACCCAGGTGATGACATGTTCCATGTGGAACCAAGTGATGACCCACTCCACGTTGATCTAGGTGATGACATGATCCATGTTCCCTGTACAGACCCAGGTGATGACATGATCCACGTTCCCAGTACAGACCCAGGTGATGACCCACTCCTTGTAGACCCAGGTGATGACACATTCTATGTTCCTTGTACAGACCCAGGTGATGACCCGCTCCATGTAGACCCAGATGATGACCCGCTACATGTTGACTTAGGTGATGACATGATCCATGTTCCCTGTACAGACCCAGCTGATGATATGTTCCATGTTCCCTGCACAGACCCAGTAGATGACATGATCCATGTTCCCTGCACAAACCCAGGTGATGACATAAATTTACCAGAAAAGTGTAGCAGCTCTGTTAATGAAATCAGTGTTCTAGAGAATATGCCTATCAAAGCAGGAAATGGAATCGTCTCAATAAATGACCCAGATGATTCACGCTTGCATGCTTGTCCAGAAACAGATGATTTAATTCACATCAATGGTGATACTTGTCCAACGACAGATGACTTAAGTCATGTCAGTGATGATATTAGTCTAATTACCAATGACTCAAGACGTGTCAATGATATTGAAAGAATCAATAAACTCTGTGAGTCGGATATTTGCTGTGAAACTGCAGACAAACACAAACATTCAGACTATCATTGTGAGTTAAGTGCAGAAAAAAACTCTGTTGTACCAGACTCATGCAGTAAGCAGAAGGCAGTGGATCATAATAATGTGGACCAGAATGAAGAAAGCTGCAGCAGTAATGAGGACTGTTGTTTTCCATGTGGTTCTACAAAAAGTAATGACTCCACTGTAGATCATAAAGAGTCATGCGGTTATGGTGGTGATGAAGAAAATGAGAGTCTAGGGTTTGAACTGTTTGGTGAGGGGGTGTATGGGAGTAATGAGGACGACAGTGACGAGGTTTTAAGTGAGGATGAGGTCACAGTTTGTGAGGAGGTGGGGTTGATGAAGGGAAATCCATTTCTCTGTGTGAGGGGCGGGAGGAACATCTGCACTGGTGTGGAGCCTGGCGCTGCTTACCACAACTTTGATGGCACGGAGGTTTAGACATGTGCATATGATGACATTTGATGACACGGGTGTGTTGGCATATGACATGGTGTCATGTGACATTTGATGGCAGATGTGTAGGCACATGACATTTCATAAACCAGTTATGCAATTGCATATTTTGTGGCATTTGATGGCACAGATATAGGCCCAGAGGACTAGACACATGACATTTACTAGCACCAGATAACATTTGATGACATGGAGGCACAGATCTATGATGTGGAGGTCTGACTTGGCATCTGATGTCACTTTGGTGAAAACTTGTTACATAATGTTTGATGCCAAAGACTTATCTTTTGATGTTTGATGTCTTGTTTGTAAATAGGTCATTACTGATCATACATCACATTTCTTTAAGTCATTTAAATATGATTGCACAAAACATCTAATTTTCTTTTTCAATTCATTCTTGAACATTTTTTATGAAAATTATTCTACATTTTTATTTTTAAATCTAATACAGTTGATCATATAAAATATTAATTTTCTTTTATACGTCAAATATTTTAAAACTGATCACACACTATATTCAAATCAAATTCTATTTTTTTTAACCATTCTTTGAATTTTCTCAAGTTTTTGTGCTGAAAAAAATGCATTAGGAAATCTTACAACTTTTAAATCTCTTCTTCCCAATTTTTATTTTGTTTTGTTTCAGTAGAAGTGAATTTTAGTTGCTATTGTATTAGCTCTGCTTCTCTTGTGTTCTCACTATAGGCTAGTTGTTTTGTTTACATTGTTTCTAATAAAAATAACAAAATAATTCTGTGCTTGCTACCTATTTATTTATTCAAATAATGTAAGTAGATTAATAAATTAGACTTAATTAACTATTCCTTTCTTCTAAAAAACATGTGTGCTAGTTAATAAGTTATAACTAGTATCAAGATAATTTGTAGCTTTCAGAAGTGTTATGGTACAAAAAAAGACTGGTAGCTAGCCAGCATTGTTCTCTGGAGTAAAAACTGAGTCATAAAACAAACAAGGGACATAATTAACAAAGGAAACTACATCAACTCTCCTGCTAAATATTTTAATACATCCCAATGCAGGGAAAGTTACTTGTGTTTTTTTTATCGTTGCATTATTCAAATTTAAATATTACCATTGGTGAGTGCAACTTATGGCTATGACATGTCATTGCCCCTCATGATTACTGACTGAGTGTACAGTCCAACCCATAATTTTTCACTGCATGCATTAATTTAAAATAAAAGTTCATTAAATTAAAACAGTTATCAAAACAAAACTATTTATTCCTTTGATGAATCAGATCTAAACATACACATATGCCAGGTGGATAGATAAATAAAATGTTAGTAGAACTTTAACTAAAAAAAATAAAACACAATACTACATAATTTTAAGAACTAATAAGGCACTCCAAATACATTGCCCAGCCATTAGAGCAAAATCATATGAATTATGTAAAACAGAATTAAATATTTTGGTTGTTCTGCTGACTTCTCAGTAGTATGCCTACAATTGGGGGTCTTGTCAAAAACTTAAGTACTAAGGCAAAAGGGCACATTATTTTTTATCAAGCGCCCTCAGAGAAAAGTTTTTGTAACAATGTAAAAATTAAAGACTAAACTAAAAGCAGGCAGTAACTAAAATCCAACCATTATTATAACTTTTTAAAATTTCTAAACATTTGTGTCACAGTTGATATAATTTGGAACATTTTGTTCCATTATTCTCACAAAACAAGCATACCTGTCCTATATAATTAAGGAATGTTAAAGCTCTGGAGGAATACTAGTGACTTGTTTACTTCCTGATAATGCCCATATCCAGTTTTTTTTTATAACTTGAAATATTATACAATAGTTTTTTCTGTACAAATTTATATATTTGCTTCAAAGAAATGATTTGACTTTGGGTTTTTTGCTCAATGAATCACAGTCATGCACATGATAAATTGATATATAAATAACATTGTGTTAAGCAAGTTATTACGTTGGGTTTAGCAAATTATTACATTGGCTTTACCAAGATAGCCAATGAGCTCAAGTCTTACACAAACAATGAAAGAAAATCTTTGATTAGTTCATATAAAACCTCCACATAGACCACAATGTTTAGTATTTGAGATTTAGTGGTTCTCAAATTCTTGTTAATTAAATATTTACACAATATTAGAAATAACATCATTCTCTAGTCTAGTTTCTCTGTTTCTCACAAAACCTTTGGTTTTATGCAGAAAAGAAAAGATCCTGCCTTGTCAGCTACATGTGATCATTACAAATTTGTTCCGTAACATTAAAAAAAAACCAACACATCACAAAACATATCTCTTTAACATTGTAGATAAACATGTTCTATAATTTTAAATTCCAATATCAAACTTGGTTGAAGATATATCTGCTATTCTTGCTACAATTACAACATTTATAACTACAAGGCTTAGATCAAGAACCAAGCACTCTGGTGAAGGAGCTACAGAGGAAGAACCTGAGTTATTCAGAGTTAACTCCCTTCAGTTGTTTAAACTGGTTCTATAAAGACTTCAGGCAGGGCAACTGCAGTTAGATTAGGATTAGGCTAATGATGAGCAAGGGATTGCTAGTGAAACAAGAAAAAAATTTCTTCAACATGACTTACCAGCATTCTTAGAAATAGGTTACCACTACACATCATATACACACATTTCAAACTTAATGCTTTGAGGTTAAGATAATAGGTCATTAAAATAAAACAACAATATATATAATTTAAAACTTAAACATTTATGTGGATTTAAAACAAAAAAAGTGAAAATATGCAACCATTTAACTTGAATGGGATAAATATATGCATCAATGAAATGGCATTTAAAAATAAAGAAATGATCAAATATCTGTTTCATAAATTTTATTAAAGTGAATATTTTTTTAAACCACAGCATCAACTGTTGCTAAGTTTTTGGGACACTATACTGGACAAGTTAGAAATGAGGTAATTATAGAACATCTGCTTTAGATGAGAAAAAAAGTAAAACTATTTTGTTAGTATGACTAGCCTCACATCTTGATGGTTCTAATAGTATTATAACAATGTTGTTATAATATCATTTACCAATTCAGTGAAGACCGTCAATTATTTGAACACATTTTAACCCCCTAAACAATTGAGCAACTTGAGATCTATGATAAAAATAGAAAAATAGCATCCTTCATGTTCAATATCTGATAACAAAATAAAGAAGGAAGAAAAGAGCTTAAGGCTAGAATAAAAACATGAACAGAAGAAACAAAAAAATTATTGCAGAGAAAAGAGGGAGAGCTAAGTCAACAATTAACCCTTGAAGCTTCAAATGTTTTGAATGAGTTATTTAAAAAAAAAAAACATACAAAATTCAAACTGAAGAACTTAAATATTTGAAAATTTCAGACTGAAACTGAAATGAATATCAGACTAAAGGACATAACGAAATGAGTTAGACTATAATTAGATCTCTATACTATAATTAATCAGAAATATATAAAATGGAAGGGTTATAAAGATAGTTTTCATAAACAAATGCCTATAAAGAAATAGGGTAACTTTTTTTATCAGTTACAAAAAACTAATTAGAAATAATTATTGCGTGAAATAAATATCACCGGGTATGTTTTAAAAAAATCAAGTTTGAACCCAATTATGTCAATAATTCATCATTATTCATTTCCTATCATGATAATAGTTTAACACTTTTTGTAATCGTAAAAAATTTATAGTTGAAACACTTCTAATTCATTAGATATATCTTTTAAAACAACGATATAACAAAATTCTGGAAAAAAATAATAGTAATTTCTATAAATATAAAGTTAATTTATTGATTTAAAATAAAGTCTATAGCAAAAACAACTCATTTTAATTTGTTTACTTTGTAAACAGTTTTGTAAGAGAAAAAAAAAATAATCACAGTTTATACCACTACATCCTCCGGACTATATGATGTGCTGTGTGGTAGCTGCTCCTAGTGGACCCTGACAGAACTAGCCACCATTGGTGTAGATTTGAGAACCTTGTCGCCACACACTGGACAAGAAGAATTGGTCCTTCTGCTCCTTGCCTCGTTCCCCCCTGACGAGTCCTTTGAGCTATCTTTATCCGAGTCATGTCCGCCACCGTCACTGTGACTGGACCAAGACTGGGAACATTTGTGTTTCCGCCTGAGTGAACGTTTGTACTGCAGTCTGCACCAGACTGCTTTACACATGTTTTCTAGAATCCAGTCGTGACCTTTGATCTTTTGGCAGAACTTCCATGTGTTTCTAGTGGTGACAGATATAAAATATTCTTTATCCTAGGCTCAACACCACCCCACAATTTTCTCCCCATTAAATAATGCATATAATAACTAAAATAATTAACAATACACACTTTTTCACAATAGTATCAATAGTTAATCCAATTACCAACACAAAAAACGTACAAAACACACAGTTTACAAGTCTAATCCCCAATAGTTTATCTAATTATCAACACACACACACAAATAACTTACAAAGCACATAGTTTAGAATTCACTGCTTATAAGTTCATCAAATTACCAACAAAAAACCAACTTACAAAACACAGTTTAGAATTCACTGCTAATAAGAAGTTCATCTAATTACCAACAAAAAAACCAACTTACAAAACACAGTTTAGAATTCTACTGCTAATAAGTTCATCTAATTACCAACAAAAAACCAACTTACAAAACACACAGTTTAGAATTCTACTGCTAATAAGTTCATCTAATTACCAACAAAAAACCAACTTACAAAACACAAAGTTTACAGCGTCGTAGCTGACCCTGCTGTAGAAGACTCCAAGACCAGAAGATGTAGCACCTGGCAATCATGTTCTCATTCCCCAACTCCAGTGCTAGTTTCAGCTGTTGCCTGGAGATTTCTCCTGCTCTCTCAGCCTGCATATTTTAACACAAAAGCCAAGAAAGGAATGAAAAATTTGTTTAACAAATGTCAAGTGTAGGTAGAGTTAGCTATGCCCTCAATGTTGAAAAATATATTTTTATTTTCCTTAATAATTGACAATACAAGTACCATTTAATTAAAAGCAAAATATAATTACTATTACTATAAACAAAGTCATGTTAATAATAAATGCACATATTTGATTTTTAAATATGCACTATTATCACGTCTAAATCAAAACCATCATGCTAATATATGTAAAAAGCAAACCAAGATTACATGGTATATGAAGGCTTCTCCGAGTGATGAATGGGCGCCACCTAGTGTTGACAGCCAAGCAAATCCTTCTTCTAACACAATGTGTTTATTCAGCAACCCAAGTACTCTGGTGTTCCTTGGTGTTGTAAAAAAAAAAAAAGAATCTATAGAAGTTTTAGGTTAAGACATTTAGACAACAAACTGATCCCACTACTAAAACCTATAACTTATTTAATCAAGCCAATAAATGACCTGGCTGATTTGTAGGGAATTTTTAAAAATGAAAAAGGAACTTTTACATCTATGCAAATTCATATCTAATTGTAATATAAACATTTCTACCATGAAATAATGGTAAATTTAATTAGGACTAATTTAATTGGTGCCACAAAGTAGATACCATAGTCATCAAACATTATTCACCCTTCAGTTTATAAACATAGTAACAGTACATGATGAAAATTTAATTTCAAGAGATGAAACAGACAAAATGGGTAATGGTGCTTAAATTTAACAAATTATTGAAATAAGATTAATGGAATATAAATATAATTAGAATACTACAATATTGTAGCCTACATTTAGTAAATATTGAAAACAAGAAATAAGTGTTTACCAGCTGTAGTCAATTTTCTGTTTTGGCCAGATGGCCACCAAATCAATCATGTAAGGAACAGTGAGGTAGTTGTCCCAAGCATTCCTTTCCTCATCTGTCCAGCACTGGTATTCTGGTACACAATTCCTAAAACCTTTCCTATTTTTGAGATATTGCCAGAAACGTTTACGAAAAACCCGACTGCGTGAGCACTCATTACTAACAGAAGACGCGACGTGCGCATCTAGGACTACTGTGCACCTGTACATCGGCAGGACAAAATAAATCACCTCTTCTGAATTTTTTGGAGTTTCTGATGGAGATAAAATATTTAATTCCAAGCTGGGCACAGAAAATCTTCTCACTCGACCCCTCTGAGACTCAACAGGCTGTGAAACATCCTCAACTTTTTTATGACCCATCCTCACGATTTTTGGACGGAAATTTTCGTGGCCTCCACAGTAAAAAGATAATGTTTCATGCAGAGAGCTTCCACCCCAGGCAGTGAGGTGTGTGTTTTGAATATACAGGTCCTTCTCTTGACTGTCTGTCAGAATGTGATCCACCATAAACATGAGCTTGATTTCTCCAGCTGAGACATCCATTTCAAATCTTGCCAGCTCTCTTGTGTAGGTTTTACAAGTCCATATTCTATCAAATGTACGGAATACAACAAAGAGAAGCATTTTCTTTAGTTTGTGATGTGACGGTCCTAAATATTTTCTTGCTGGGGGCTTACAAGTTGATGCCAGTGGCTACTGAAGATTTTTTTTTAAATGTCATACTTGAAAAGATTCTGAAATTACAGATGAGAAAATGTGTTGAAATTAAAAATATTTCTCTTAGCATGGTATATCAGTCTCTAGGTCTAAGTTTTATGAGTAAATTGAATATTGAAAAGTTAAACTATTGAACTAATAAATTTGTTTAACAAACTAATTAATATGTATAATTTTAATTATAAAAATCAATTTTAACCATTCAGCAAATCAAATAAATTGTCAGCATTTTAAAGTATGAAAGTCGAACATTTAAAAAATTTTTATGTAAAGTTAAAAAGAACGATGAAAAGTTATCTTGTTAAAAAAATTAGTGAAATAATTACTGATTTTCAGCTTTACCTCATTTTGTCATACATATAACACTGAACTCTAGCTTCTTTGTCACATTTACTCCTTGTTGATGTTCATCAAAACTAGAAAAAAGTAAAGTAAATTAACTAGGCCTATTTGTGGGTGGTCAATAATGATTCAACTTTTACTCACTCGTTAAACTAAAAATGGGACAACATGGTCAGATGGTAGAGCTCAGGACTGCTAACCCAAAAGTTTTATGTTCAGTAACTTTCAGATCCTGGGCCTAAATCCACCCAGTTCTGATGGGTACCTGACTCATGCTAGGGGAAAAAAAGGCTGGGTATAATGAATAGTGGCTAGTGCTGACCAAACTATCCCCCTGTGCTCCTGTAGTGTAGCCTGTAAGTCGAGGTCTTTAAACTTGAAACAGAAGAACTCTACTTCATCTGCCCTAAACAAATATCATGTGATTTGCTTGGACAAGAATGGAAAAGATTATTTATTATGATGATTAAACTTAAACTTTGAACACTAGGCCTATAAACTATAAACAGTAACAGTAGTATAGGCCACACAACTAGACTAGATCTAAATCTAATCTTTTAAATATTAAATAATAAATATTAATAAATAAACAGCAAGTAGATCTAGATTCTAGATCTAGAAGCTAACTATTAAATTTTAACTTATCAATCATAACTAGATCTACCAAGTTACTAGTTTAACTTGATCTAGATTCTAGGGTGTGGGGAAATTGCGAGACGTGAAAAGGCGAGGCGAGAAAATGCGAGAAGGGCGCGAAAATGGTCGGTCACATGACTTTTTGTCTCGCATTTTACCACAACCCGATACTTACGCTGGGTGGTGTTGAAATGCGAAGATTTCTGCGAAAAATTTACCGCACCCGATTTTCAGTGGTATTTGGTCCAGACTTCAAAGACGTTTCGTTTACATTGTTAAAACTTCCGATTTTTCCGTCGCTAGACATACTGATGATTTGTCAACTCCCCCATCTTTTGTGTCGACTTAGAATACCACCTTGTTCGAAACCGACGGAAATACCGCCGACAATAGATCAACTTCTGTCTTTTGTGTGGAACGCCGAGGCCGCCTGATTTACCGTCTTTGAAGATCACCGTGCCCGGATCCGCTGCCGCCAGAAACATATTTTCTATTGTTGCATAGAAATTTTGTATAAATATGAGCAGGCTAGATTTTTAAAATTAATGCCGACTGAGACGGGATTTTCCTCTCGCTAACGAGAGCGGGCGATGACAGTAGCACAGCAACGATGTTAGGATTTTTAAATAGATAGATCTAGATATAGATCTATCTATCTTCTTAGTATCTCTCTATCTATATAATAAAATCTAGATAAAAAAGAACAACATACAACACTTGTGTTAAAGGGTATGGCTAAATGCTTGTTTATTTTAAAACAAACAAAAAAAATTTAAATAAATAAAGATAAAAAAGCATGAAAATTTTTTTTCACAAAAAGTGTCTTGTTATTTTCCTTTAATTCCGCAGGTATGTCTCGCATTATCTTCTCGCATTTTCCCGCCTCGCCATTTCACTTTTCGCGTCTCGCAATCTCCCAACACCCTAGATTCTAGATCTAGAATATTGATTCTAGTAGTTATTAGTTAATATCTAGTTACTAGAGTCTAGTTATTAGTTAACTACTAATGACTACTATTATAATTAACTAGACTACTCAGTCCGACTTTAATCAGTTACTTTACTAGGCCTAAAAACTTTAATTTTAAGTCTCACTAAGTCCTGCTCTAACAAAATTTAATAAAATAGATCTAGATCTAGTTTTTATCCTCAATTTTTTTTAGAGAGGGCCTTGCTCTAACTAATAGATCTAGATCTACATAGTACATACTATAATACATAACATAGTATTACATAATATAATACTGTAGGCCTATAACTAGCAGTAACCTAACACCCCTTTTTAAAAGAAGATTCCATTATCAGACACTGGTGTAAACATTCTCCCGAGTTAGAGTTAGAGTAGTTACTAGTTAGACTCGTCTAGCTCAGCAAGACCTAGCCTAGATCTAGAAATCTAGAATTCTAGATCTAGATTTCTAGATTCTAGATCTAGATTCTAGGGTAATCTATCGTTTTGGGTACGTAAAATTGCCCGCGACTAGTAATGTGAAAAACAGGTGACTCCTTACATTTTAATAATTATTTCACATTTTGAGGAGGATTTATGCTTTAAAAATACAAAAATGTTTCCTTGTTTCATTTATGTACCTGTTTTTAAACAATTGAATTAAAACTTTTCAGTAATAAATGAAGACTAGCGATGTTTCCAACAGATGCAACCATGCTCATTTACTATAGCAGCCATCTTTTTAAAGTTTTATTTTTATAGACTTAAAGCGCAAGATTCAGACGGAAGTCACTCTATTTTACAAATGGCTGCTGTTTATATTGGAAATCTTGCTTGCAGACACTGCTGTTTAAAGTTAATTTCTGGCCTATATTGATATATTTAGGCCTACATTATTTAGCCATTGATTTAGGTTTATTATTCATTTATCTATAATATTTGACACAAACATATCACAATATACTTCTATTACAGCCTTGACAATGAGGTAACGTTTTCGTACATTAATAGCAGCGGGCAATTTTATGTACCCAAAACGATAGATTACCGATTCTAGATCTAGATCTACTAAACTACACTAACACTAGATCTAGAATTTAGAATCTAGGGTAATCTATCGTTTTGGGTACGTAAAATCGCCCGCGGCTATTAATGTACGAAAACGTTACCTCATTGTCAAGGCTGTAATAGAAGTATATTGTGATATGTTTGTGTCAAATATTATAGATAAATGAATAATAAACCTAAATCAATGGCTAAATATATCAATATAGGCCAGAAATTAACTTTAAACAGCTGTGTCTGCAAGCAAGATTTGCTATATAAACAGCAGCCATTTGTAAAATAGAGTGACTTCCGCCTGAATCTCGCGCTATATGTCTATAAAAATAAAACTTAAACAAGATGGCTGCTATAGTAAATGAGCGTGGTTGCATCTGTTGGAAACATCGCTGGTGTTCATTTATTACTGAAAAGTTTTAATTCAATTGTTTAAAAACAGGTACATAAATGAAACAAGGAAACATTTTTGTATTTTTCAAAACATAAATCCTCATCAAAATGTGAAATAATTATTAAAATTTAAGGAGTCACCTGTTTTTCACATTACTAGTTGCGGCCGATTTTACGTACCTAAAACGATAGATTACCGAATCTAGATCTAGATTCTAGATGCGAACTAAGAAAACATAGCATAAAAAAATCGGCCTAATTATTTACTATAATGTTTAAAAAAGACGATGTCAAAACTAAATTCTAGATTTAGATCTTGATCTTGAATCTATAATTATCTTCTTTGAATTAAAGAAAGTAGAAAGATTATTCTCCATTCCAGCCTTTCTTGTTGATTTTTTAGAAGGTCAATCCAATAGCCGAAACTGTATTTAATATTATAGCACCAAAAACTATTAGAATTCTTGATCTAAAAAAAGATCAAGATCTAGAATCTAGATTAGATCTAGATCTAGATTCCACGCGAGCTGCATTAATGTTATAATAGTTGTATCAGATATCTAAATAAATTATATGACGTGGTAGTGAGGCCTAAAAAATAATTCAAAGTTTTTTAGGCAATTTTCCCTCATTGTCTAAACCCCCTCCCCATCCCCCTTAACAAAACGGTCTAATAACAAGCTTTATATATTATTCGCTAAAAGTAAAAAATAAACTATATTGTTTATAAGAGAAAAGCGTGGGTAGCTCCTTAAATTTTAGTAAAGGTATTCATTCGTTACTTCAATAGTGGGCTTTTAAATAATAGAATCTATATATTTAAAGAAAATCATTTAGGCCTATTTTACTTATTTCATTCTTTTGTCATATGGGTCGAAACGGGTGATCAAAATTTCGACCACTTCTAATGAACCAATTTCTTTTAAACTTGGCCCGTGGTTCCAGATCCGATGACAATGCAATATCAAAGTTTACTGAATTGGATGCTTAATTAATTTGTAAGAATTAATTAAAGTTTCCCATATGGGATCATCCATAAATGACGTCACACTCGTAGGGGGGAGGGGGGTCCGTAATTTTGTGACGATGTGTGATGAGGGGGAGGGGGGGGGGGGGTTCAGATGTTAAGACGTCACATTTTTGCATTATAAAAAAGCAATGTTAGAAAACGAATTTTAGACGTTATTTCGCGTTTTAGATAACTGTTTTAATAAATTGTAATAGTTTAGACAAGATTTTGGAAAAAATATCGATGTTTAAAAAAAATTCAACTGCAATTTTGAGGGGGGGGGGGGGGGTTGTAGGTTGAGGTGTGACGTCATTTTAGGGGGAGGGTCTGACTTTTTGTGACGACGTGTGACGGAGGGGAGGGGGGGGGGAAGGTAAAAATCGTCAAAAAAGCGTGACGTCATTTATGGATGACCCCCCATATAAAGTATTAACTTTCTACGCTATAATACGCACAGAATTGTTTTCGCTCATTTGCTATATATATATATATATATATATATATATATATATATATATATATATATATATATATATATATATATATAAAAGAGATGCATGCTTTTCTTTTACATAGTTGCTTATAATTAGGCCTATTTTTATTTTCTATTTTTTATTTTGAGTATTCAGTAAACGTTTATGTTGCATTGCTTATTGGTCAATTGGAGTACGTTAGCCTTGTTAAAATAGTTTGTGTTGAGAATGCTAATGTCAAAGTGTTGCACATATTTTTTTGTAACAGTGGAAGAATAATTGATGGTTCCAAATAAAACCCTGGGAAAATGTAAACAGAAGTACATCTATATTGATTTTTTTTTTAAATTACATTTTTATTAACACAACGCCCTACCTGGGTGAATAATAAAAGTAAAATTTTCATTTTTAAAAACATAATTTTAAGGTGAGAGGTATATATTATAATGTGGGATGTGCTGTTGATTGTGGGGTGGGTATGGGGCAGGCTGGTGTGTGGCTTTATTCGGGTTATTTTTAGTGGTGTGGTTCAGTGTTGTGCAGGTTGTGTTTCCCCTTTTGTTTCTGCTTTATTCTTAATGTGAACTTCACATTTATTATACAAGAAATACAAAAACAGCTATGTTGTGCCTTTATTTTCTAAATTTTCACATGATAGCATAAGTCATGTTTTAGCGGATACTCCGTGATACATATAAAGCTATGTATTATATGTAATTGACATATTTTTGTATAGGGCCTGCATTAGATTAATCAACATTTATTGCTTCAAAATAATATTGAAGAAATATTGTATCTTTTATTTTTATTAAATTTAAATATGTTTAGTGGATTTTTTATGTTATTTGAAAGTATGAAATTAACAGCTATTTTAATTCTGTGGGCGGAAACATTACACTATACTTGCACTCAACTACAATTGCTTTTGGTAGAATGTTTATGAACTATATTTAGCTCTAAACACGAGCTTATTATTCATTTATAATTGTCGAAAAGTAAGAGAAAACCCAGTGCACTAAAAATCCTCTGCTTGCAAATAACTAGTGTTTTGGCCGTAATGTTTATGGAATTGTCTCATTCCAGTTAGAGAGCTATAATAAATCTTATTGCAAATGTCCAACTTTTTTTAATGATAAAAATCTAATTTCAGCAATAATAGTGGGCCTACATTAGCCTTATATCACAAAATTAGGGTGAAAACAAAGAACACCACACAAACACTGAGTAAAATTCAAGTGAAGGGCAAAAATTATTTGCTTGTATACATTTATTATTTTACAGCACAAATTATATAAAATATAAGTATTACAGTTTTTTAACATAACATTTTACTACATGGCAGATTTTATCTTTAAACATTGTTTTAACATGTCCAAAATTACTTCATCACAATAAAATAGCACTTACATTGTCATCTCACAGAAAAATAAAGAAAAGCATTTACATTTGCATCTCAATGTACATTCGCACTCTGACTGTTAGTTGACAAAAATATGACATGGATTCATTTAATTCAAAAAGTGCCATGAAAATAATTAACCTTTCACCAAAAAATGTACAAACAGTCTTTGAGGTAAAAATGTACTCTCATGTACTGTACTGTCATACCAACGTCAATTATTCAAGTATACACATTCACACAATCTTGCAAACACAAATGCACATTTAACTTAATGGAATAATTTTGCTTACAATTTACAAAACAGATATAAAGGAAACATGAAAGCCCTGAAAGATCACTGGTGATGATATGTACAAGATTCTAAACTCCACTAAAGGGAGGTCAGCAGTAAAATGTTGCTCTTTGTTTGAAAAAAATATTTAACAATTGTGTTGCTTAGAAAAAAATATAGTTAAGCTTATTTATGAAATTTAAACGTTATATTTTTTAAACTAATTTTCATGAGTTGAAAATAATATTTAAAAAAATATACTTCCAATTGAAAACAATTAGCTGTTGTTTTAAATTATACTGCTGTGTAAAACCAAACTAAAATATATTAATTACCTTTTTCCATATGAAACAATAATTGATTAAAAGCAATCAATTATTTAATATTACATACTTCATGCAACAGTTTTGGAATGAAAACTGCACTGACAATAAAATATAAAAAAAGATGGTTGCTTTCTTCTTGCCATAAGGCCATCACTATAAACAATTCTAAAACTGTACAGTTAATCATGTAGATCTTTGCTTTGTCATTCAAGAAAATATTTAAGCATATTAAAATACATTTATTACAAAATAAAAATGCTAATTAATACACATCCATGACCAAATAAACATTGAAATAATTATCTGAACACAATGTTTGAACATCACTAAAATAAAAGGCCCTTTAGTGGTACTCTGATTATTCTGCTAATACACTTTAGGTAACTAGAACAGTGTAAAATACAACATGCAGAAAAAACTTTGTAAATGAACTGTCAAATTATAAAAATTAAACATTTTTATACTAAAACTATGTGCAAACACCAGGTGGTTTGTATACTATACAAGCTTTAAATTATTTAAAATCAGCAAGAAATGAGTTGAAGGAAAATTATTTTTAAAAAAAAAACAATAAAAAAAGGGAAATAAGTGAACAGACTGAATGGAATAAAGATGGCCCAAAATGACTTTTTATGTGGAATTTCTTCACCCACAAGTGCAAAGGTTATCAGCCTGTAGCTATAAGCTTCTTGTGTCTTCTTTTAAAAAGCATTAGCAAGAGTATATAGAAAAAAAAGTGGGAGGGGGAGTTACGATTATTTTTTTTTTAGTTTCAACAAATTAACTTGCCAAAATATCAATTTTAGTGCAACTCACAAAAATATTTTAGGGAAAACAAAGTTATAAATAGCTTTAAAGCAAGGCTGATGACCCTCACATTATGGTCTTAAAAATTGATTAAAGCATCATTAAATATGGAATGAATGCTAGTATGGAATAGAAAAGTGGTAATGCCAAAATATCAAGCAAAGGAGTGAAATGTATGCTGCCTGCAGCTATTTTATTTGGCTGCATTTCTATGCAAGTTCTTTTAAAGACTAAAATGGTCTTTGAAAACATCTTATGCTCATTATGCTTGATTTACAACTAATAAAAAGTGAACAAAGTCATTCATGAAAGCAGTGTTACTTTCCTGATATAAAACACAAATGTAGAAAAATATTTACCTGAACATATTGTAGAGTTATATTTGTAAAAAAAAAATTTCCTAAAGCTTTTTTGGTGACAAACATGCACACAACAAAAGAAAAAATGTTTGAGATAAAAATATTTTTTTCTTTATAATCTTCATACAGAAGCCCACATAAATTACCTGATTAAAAAAAATTGATAAACAACTAAAATAGTCTGTAAATAATGTTTGAGATCTCAAACCATCAAACATCAGTTTCTTCTGTAGCTCCATCATGTCCGGCAAAGGAGCAGAATGATATGAACATGAATTTGCTTTACAGTTTTTATCCAATATCAGCATCATCATCAACACTGTAGATCTACTATTTCAACTTTTACAGTCTAATATCCTTGATTGTTTTTTAATAATCCTGGTTCACTGATAGTTTATAGTCTTGAGTTTACTGTGCTGATCTTCTTAAATTTCTGCCACTCACGGCTAGACCTAGCAAGTAGCTGACAACACTGGACTGAAGCATGACTTGCTCCGCCCCCTTACACATCATCTCCATAGGATCATTTGACACCTGTTTGGAGGCTGGAGCCAGGAGGGTGGGGCCAAAAACAGTTGCTAGGTTATGGATGGACATCTTGTTTACCCCAACATTCCTGGCAACTCTGGAAAATAAAATAAAAACTCTGTTATATATTTGGAGGTAAAAACTTCAAGTAAAAAAATTTAAATTTAAAAAGTAATTTTAAAATATTGGTACAATAAATACAATTGATGATGGATTGAGGTTCAGACAGACGAAATTTTCATAACATTTCTATTTTAAAATTGGGCATTAAATTAGGATTTAGTTAACCATCTGAAAACATAATTATTTCAATATTATCTAGATGTTAAGCATTGTTTACAATTAGGCATAAATTCAAATGTGGAAAAACAAAAAAAAATAAAAATCATTGGTAAAAAAGAGTATTAAGCTAGTTAAGCCCCTTTAGCATTGTTTAGTTTAACAAAAGCTACATCTAAGAGCTAATCACCTCAACAAATGTTCCATCAAAGAAACAATTGTGTAGTAGTTGACATCAGGCAAGCTGTGTAACAAACTCAACATACACTGTGCTTTTGCTTCTTCGTCAGAAAGTTCTGTATTGATAAAACAATTTTAGAATTTGAATTTTTAAGCTGAAAATTAAATTGAAAATTTGACCAGCACTTGCTTTTAAAATTACAAATTTACTTTAAATAGTAAAATAAATAAATTAAAAAAAAAATGTGATCCTTGCTTTTTAAAAATTGATCAAAACTGCACAGGTTTTAGTGCACAATAGTTTTAAAATACTATTTCTATCAACTTACTAAGTGTGTCAACAAAATTTTGATAACTGGACTCTGTAAAGAGAGGCTCTGGTAGTTCCCTGAAATACAACTTGAGGATCCCTGTCACAGCATGGATATCTGCACTTGACAATGCTGCAATGCCTGCTCGGATGTCTAGAGAAGAAGCATTTCTCAGTTAGATTGTTACACATTATAGATTTAGCAAAAATCAATATCATAACTGTGAAAGTTATTTTTATTTTATACCCTAAAAAAGTTGGGGACATAAGAAAATCAATCTAAGCATCAAGATGTATAGCTGTGGCAATGGGTTAATTATATTCTTTTCTCACTAGTTTTCTTTTATTAAAGTCTATAAAATTATTTTGATTGGATATCTGTTTCAGATGACAGTAAAGGGAAACAATCAAAACTTGATTTCTGTCTGCCTTACTTTTATCAAATAATTTCTTTATTGTCTGTAAGTCTGAGGTCACACCAGAAACTCTGTAGATGCCAACTTCATCAAGACCTGAAAATTGGATTTTTTTAAGATTAAAATTTTTTGCAACTCTATAACTACTCATGCTGCAATAGTACTGAACATTTGTTTAGATGATAATAAAATAAAAAGTTAATAAAAAATGATTTTCTAACAAACTTTTATAGAATAAAGTACTAAAAAGTAGAAAATAATTGATTTTCTTTAAATATATAATAATGAGATACTATTTAAATGACTATAAATAGAATTGCATGACTTAAATGAAAAAAATTGCATGCCAAATGAACACAAACAATGTGTATATAATAGTGCAAAAATTAGTGCTTTATATATGAAACTAATAAAATCTTAAAACATTAATTAAGCATCCAATTGAGTCAAATTTGATGTCATCAGATCATGACCCACAGGCCAAGTTTGAAAGAAATCAGTCTGAAGTGGTCAAAACTTTGCTTGCCCATTTTGACCCATAAGTTAAATATAAGCTAGTAAAACACTTTGTATCAAGATTTGTTGCTAATGAAAACAAACCTCTCTTCTCAACCTCCTGAAGACAAGATGTGACTATAGAGGGCACTGTTTTTCCTTCCTTCCTTGCACATGAAGAAATTTTCACACCAAACACAGCTGCGCTGGTACGAGATGGTGTACGGGGCATGGTTTTTTCAGCTGATGTGTGTTTGACTGATATGACTAGGGACAACTCATTCATGGCCACAGTTTTTTCTTGGAAACTCCCCTTAAGCCACTGTTTACTCAACTGAAAGTGATAAATTATTAATTTTTTTTATAATCATGCAGTGTTTATTTAGCATGTCAAAAAATCTACAATAACCTATAATAACCTTTTAAGCTTACCTCTAATTGCCCCCCCCCCCTTCCCCACCCAATCAAAAAATCTACCATAACCTATAATAACCTTACCTCTAATGCCCCTCCCCCACCCAATCAAAAAATCTACAGTAACATAACAACCTTCTAAGCTTACCTCTAATGCCCCCCCTCCCCCACCCAATCACAAAATCTACAGTAACCTATAATAACCTTTAACCTTACTTCTAATGCCCCCCCCCCCCCACCCAATCAAAAAATCTACAATAACCTACAATAACCTTTAACCTTACCTCTAATGCCCCCCACCCAATCAAAAAATCTCCAGTAACCTATAATAACCTTATAAACTTACCTCTAATGCCCCCCCTCCCCACCCAATCAAAAAATCTACAGTAACCTATAATAACCTTTAACCTTACCTCTAATGCCCCTCGCCCAAGTAGTTTGTCTCCTTGATCTTCTTTTTCTTTTTTAAAACATAAAAACCTGATGGTCTGCGACCCATCTAGCTCAAGCTCGAAATCTTCATTCCAGGAAGGATCATTTGTTACCTCAGCTATGTGGGTTTTTGCTTTCATAAAGAAGTGACCAAAGCTGTCCATTTCCAAACAGCAATAGGTATCTATAAAAATAAAAATCATTGTATTTTCTTTAGCAATGGTTATTTTAATAAATATAAGTTAAAAAAATAATTTTTGTAGTCATTTTGATTTTGTAACTGCTATAGTTGATTATTTAAATGTTATATAATTATCAACATACCACATTGTGTTGTAAGGCCATTTAGTTTGTGTATTGTCACATTCAATGTGCCAGTTAGGACGTCTTCATCTGTAACAGAAAGTACAAATAATGTTTGAATTTGTGTTAGATTGAAAAAGAATTCTACACAAAATGTATCTACTTTTAGATTACATTTTTTAAAATTTAAAAATAGTGAAATATAAATTAACAATAAACAAGAAAAACATACCTCTTTCACTCAAAACATTTCCTATCTTGTTAACTTGTGGTGTCTGTAGAAAAAAAAATATATTCATGTGGAGATTGTAAATTGACAGATAAATGTTATACTGGTTAACATTTTAAAAATATTTGCTTTGGAACAAAATGGTTGATACACATTTTATATAAAATATAATTTTTTTAATGATTAAGGTTCTTTTAAACTCATCTTAAATAATTTCAAAGTCTTAATTTTTTTTAACATAAATAAGAAGGAACCGTACCTCTTTCACACTGTTTATCAGATCTTGAACTAAAATAGAACTCATGGCTTGCTGTTGCTGGTTTGTCCTCATACCTGTAGATAAAGGATAAGAGGTAAATAATAGCCATAGCCTTTTCTAACTAAGACAATTGAACTGTAAAACCAGGTCCAGTAATTTGTTTATCACTTGAACTTTGAACTTGTAGGAACTTACTTAAAGACGCAACTGTTTCTTTCCACTCCTCCCTTTCATAATCAGTTGTCATTAGAAGAGTATACTTTTTCCCACCTTCCAGTGCAACTTTAAATGGCAACTTAGGACAAGCCAAGATCAACTGAGCTTCCTGAAATATAAAAATTTCCCATCTGATTATATTATACCTGATGCAAAAAAATACGACAAACTATTAAATTCACAAAAAATTCGAGTTCCCTTATATTTTATTTTGTACACAGAGGTTTATTTACCATTATAAAATGTTAAAATAAATTCAGAAATAACTTACATGATGACTGATTTTCTTTTTCATCTTCTCTGCAGCTCGTGATCCCAAATTCGTTATAGATCTGTGTTTCTGTGGACCAGGTAATAGGTTTGAAATTAAACATGGTATTTTCTTATTTAATCATCCCATTCACTTGTTATTGGATGGACAAAGGCTATGGAAGCAAACCCAAATAGAAAGGCAGGCTAAAATCAGAGTCAATGGCCTATGTGGTGCATAACATGTTGATACTTAATACTTAATGGATGATCGTGTTGGAGGAATTAGGAATGAAGAAAAAGAAGATCCTATTGTATTATCGTTAATTGACATATTTTAATTTTGTGATTTAAGTTAAATTTATATGCGAGTTTAAAAGCTATAACAGTAGCGTAGCGAGGGGGGGGGGGGGCGAGGGGGGACGACATATGTCCCCGGGTGCCTACCTTAGGGGGCGCCAAAATGAGTTGGAAAGATAAATTGAAAGGTTGAGGGGGGTGCAAATCGAAATCTTGAGGGGGGGTGCAAATCGAAAAGTTTGTCCCCGGGCGCCGGGAATGGTCGCTACGCCTCTGAGCTATAATTAAATACAAATTGTGCCCTTGTTTAAAATATAAAACTAAGCAAGTGCCTTGGGCTGCCTTAAACCAATTTACTTTTAGCACTCTGATAAAAAATGTTTTAACTCATTAAACTGAAAGATTCTTTTTATGTTTATGTAAGGACATGACAGAAAACAATGCACATTTTATCTGCTTTAAAAAGGTAACTGCTTGCGATAGAAAAAATGATTTTTTTTAAAAAGTGCTAGACTTTATTACACTACGCTATAAAGCTACTAACATCTTTGTCTTTGACATCATATTTCTTCAATTCTAGTCTCAATTCTTTCTTGAGTGACCGAAGTTTTCCTTTTATCTCATCAATATCCTCTTTAATTGAAGGCTTTAGATCATCTGAAATATCAGGGGGAAAAAAATGTATCAAAACTCTCTTTTATTAATATAGGCAATAACAAAATAAATATATTATTATAACTTCACAAAAACTTTGTATGTTTAGAATACCCTGTAAGATAATCAATTATAAGAATTCTTAAATTTTTAAAAAAATTACCATTGTAGCCAAACTTTGTATCAATGGTCATTTGATTTAGAGGTGCGAACCATTTTATAATAAAGGAAACCTTGTTATTTCTGAAAAAAAAAAGATTCTTTAATTACTTTCTTAAAATACCGGGCATTCAGTAATTTGTTACTGGGTGCAACAAATTCTAAGCATGAAAATTTAAAAAGATAAAATTCATCAAACAAACTAGAGTTGTAATCTGAACATCCATAAAACATGCCAGTTTTACACAAATCACTTTACATGAAGTCAAAACCATCATATCTGTTTTATTGCAGCTAAATTTTGATTGGTATTTTTGAGTCTATGCCAGACAATTTTTAACAAAAAGACTCTAAAATCTTGTCCCCTATCTATGTGATGTTTTCTTTACCTGTGAGTTTCCCTCTTGGTACAGATAAGCACATCACTGAAGAGAAACATGTAGCGGAGTTTTCTCACCCCATTCACCAGCTCCACCAAGAAACTACTTTTTACAAGACGCCTATTTTCTCCGGACTGGAAAACAAAAATTTTAATACAAATTTTTTTTAAAGTTTTCAAAAGGTAGGATAACATTTAGAAGAAGATAGTAATATTTTTAAAATGGACAGGATTAATACCAGGTCACAATTTTGAAAAAAGTAGTTTTAAATAAAGCAATACAAATAACATTGACCTATTATGAAAAACTGTCAATGCTGTATACTGAAGGGTACATTATTTTTAATTCTTGATACTTACAATTTAGAAGAATTTTTTTGTAATGCTTTATTTTGTACATAAAAAATGTGCTATCACATGTATTTTATAGTCATTATAACTCGCCGCTTAATAATAATAAACCAAATTCTTGAACATGCCTGTTCAAAATATTTCAGTACTTTTGCCATACTTATCTGTACTCTGTAAACAAAAATTCAAACTTACTGTCTGTTTCTTGGGTATATTGACGGCAAAAGACTCTAAAATTTGTTGAGACAGCTTCAAAGCTTTCTGTAGGGCCTCATAGTCTGGGTGCTCCTCTGGGGTGTATTTTATCAGGTCCTGTAAAACATTCATTTAATTTAAAACTTGTCTTCATGTCAGGACACAAAGCATTCCAAACACTTAATTTTAGGTGATAAACTAATTTTTTTTTTAATTTTTAATTCAATTTTTATTTCTTTAATGTTGCTGTAGTTAACGATGAAAACTTAAATGATGATGTTTTGCCCAACTTACGTGTAATACCAAAGTATTTCTCTGGACCCTCTGGACTGGTTTAAAAAGAGCATCTGTGAATATCCAATTAAAATCAAAGTTGAACTTTCCAAAAATATGTTTATAAATAAACTTTAATATAACTAACGCCAAAAAAAAATAATATTCTAACCAACCTAAACTTTTTCTTTAAGCATAATCTATTCCTATTCAATTCAACCATAAAATTCGATAAGTTAAATAATTTAATCTCAATTGGATTATTATTTCAGAGCCTGAGGCTGTAGAATAAACAATAACGAGTCTTTTCTGTCAAAAAATTACACTTTTAATATGAAAGTCTTATTATTTAGGAACAATCAATGAAAACGTGTGCATTATCTGTAACAGTAACTACTCACCTTCAAGGGTTGTAACTTGTTTCATTACAGAAAGTTTGATTTCCTACAGAAAATAAAAATATTTTATTACCACTCTGTTTACTTTCTAGATTTCTTGGTAAAGAAAAATGTTTATTTTTATTGCTTTAGCATACAGTTAAACTGGAATTCCTGTACTTCACCCCCTTGCATTTACTTTTCCCTAATTAATGCCAGGTACCAATAATAACTAGGTGAGCTCTGGATCACCATAAGGATTTCATTAAAATTCTCCAAAATGTCAACGAATAAGTGGGTGAGCAATGTTTGGACATGAATCTATTTAAGGCAAAAGTAAATAATCCTCTTTAGACCTAGCGATCCATTGGGCAGATAGAGTTCATATGTTTCTTGACCTCGGCATATGAAGGGAAGATGTTGTCAGCACTTTGCCCAGATCCCTTCACTTTCCCTAACTTGAGTTAGGTACCCATCAAAGCTGGGTGGACTCAGGGATGTTCTACTGACTTGGACCCAGATTCGAACTCGAGACTTTCATGTTAGCAACCTAGCTTAGGCCTCGCAACCCCCAAGGCAAAAGGCCAGGTATAGAGGTATATTTGACTGCTGGACTAGTGATATACCTGAGCTAGAAGGTTGAACTGCTCACTCTCCTGACAACACTTATGAATGGTGCTCACAGCCTTCTGGTAGTTGTTCAGGTAACTCCCACACTCTATGAAACTGGAGATCTGAGGAGACATGTTTTACATTCATTGTATTTTATTTCAATTTTTTTTTGTGGAGAATTTTTTTTTTACCGAACCCAGTTGAGTCATTCAAAATGTATGCACTATTTGATAGAGTCTATTTCCCATACCACATATTGTTTGTTTAAGTAAATCTAATTTGAATGAGGATGTTTAAAGGATGGAAATTTTTACAGGCACAAGGTCAAGCACATCTTAAACAAACAAAATTTCACTTGAGTATTTGACATAGAGCTATGAGGTGACTGATGTATTAGGGACTGCCCCCCCCCCCACATGGGGGGAGGGGGGAAATGAAGACCCATAAAAAACGAACCAATCTTTAACATATTGTTTTAAACAAAACTGTTTTTAATGTTTCTTTATGTATATGAGTATAGATTTCTGGGTCTTGGTAGAGATATAAAAGCCCCCAACATACCATAAACAGACACCCACCACCAAAAGAAACCTATCACCACCATATAACTATCATCAACTGACATCTACCACAAATGAACACATCACACCAACAGACACCTACCATATGAAACACCTACCATACATCACACCAACAACACCTACCACATAAAACACGTACCATAATTTTGAAAATCTCCCCGATGGTCTCTCCATGCGTCCACTTGCTGACCTTGGGCTGAAGAGATTTAACGAAGTCGTCGTGGATGTTGTAGATGGTGTCGATGTTGGAGAAAATGTTCTGGATGTCTTCTTTAGATATCACAGGCTGGGAAGATTGGCTGCTTTTCTCCAGATTACGTTCATACTGAGGTAAGGGAAAATCACATAGGGCGTAATAGGGTAACATAGATAAAGAAATTGTATTGTTTTCAACAAATCATTAAGTGTGAGAATCAAAACGGCCCAACCTTAAGTAAAGTTCTAATTTTGAACCTTACTGTAACTAATATCAAAATTTTCCACAGCTAGATTTTTAAAAATGTAATGCGATGTGATTCCATTTTATGAATTAGAAAAGAGTAGCTTCCCTTTAGTTCGGTAATCTTTCGTAGTTTAAATTTGGGTATCGTAAAAAGAGAGTAGCTTAGACAAGCTCAGTCAAAAAATTTAAGTAGCGTAGCTTAGAGCCCATCATAAGTCATACGGTATAGAGAACGAAGGTGTGTAGCGCATTTTTAAGTTACAGGTCTGTAACGGCAGTAGGTGTGTAACAGATCTGTAACGTTTGTAGATGTGTAAGTTATAGGTCTAAAGTTGCATGAGGTCATATGTACTACCCGTCATGCACCACTATGTTCCTGTAACAACACCACCAGCTATATAAACACGACTAAGATTCTTGTTTTTGTCACTGACAACGATGACAGCTTAACAGTTTTGGACAACTTCCAAAAGCGCAGGGTCCTGTCTGAGAATATTCATTTTCTTTTTTTCTTCAATAGATACACATCTTTAAAAAAAAAGTGTGTTGTGCCTCAGACAATGTTCTCGTCATATGCCAAAGGCTGAGCGGATAGTGTCAGGAAGATAGGCCTAGGAGGGGGAGGGGAGACAATTCTTGAATGCTTCTGAACGAATGTAAAAGGTAACACACAGCACTAGTCATACTGTAAATGTGGTTTCTAACACTACAGCTATGCCTTTAGCTTTCAACTTAAGAGTGTGCTGTTGTTGTTGTTTTTATTTTGTAATTGAAAGTTTTCTTCCATCTTGTGTTTGTTGTTTCATGTTTTTTTAAACTAGACAAGAGGGATTCTTGAAGAGCTCTTTCATTCAGAAAGTTTACTTTTTGTGTATGGGTCCGCAACACTTCAGCAGTAGAGGTCATAAGTGAGGATAAGTGTGATGTTGAACACCACCCACCGCAGGATGCTACACTACATTAGGCTACATCACTGGATGCTACACTACATTAGGCTACATCACAGGATGCGACACTACATTAGGCTACATCACAGGATGCTACACTACATTAGGCTACATCACAGGATGCTACATTACATTAGGCTACATCACAGGATGCTACATTACATTAGGCTACATCACAGGATGCTACATTACATTAGGCTACATCACAGGATGCTACATTACATTAGGCTACATCACAGGATGCTACACTACATTAGGCTACATCACAGGATGCTACACTACATTAGGCTACATCACAGTATGCTACACTACTGCCTGTAGTAGGCTACATCACAGGATGCTACACTACATTAGGCTACACTGTAGCCTGTAGTAGGCTACATCACAGGATGCTACACTGTAGCCTGTAGTAGGCTACATCACAGGATGCTACACTACAGCCTGTAGTACACCACAGCTCAAACATAGAGGTGACAAATTTCTACAGCCCATTTAGTTATATCTTTTAAATCTCGGAAATCTCACTAATGTGAAGGGAAAAATGTATTCTCAAAGATGACTCAATTCCTCCCCCGTTCATTTTAATTGGTCATTATTTGTTCAAAAAATAATTGAAAAGATCTCACTTGTAGAAGTAGGCTTACATTGGGGATGTGTGAATATGTAGTATGTGACTAAATATAATAACCTAACGAAACCGGAAACTGCCGAAGAAGGAAGGGCTGAGGGAAACTTTACTTAAGTTGATTTTCGTGCACCAAATATGGGCCTTCTTTTTTATCAGCTAATACAAGCAGCTTCCTTTTTACTTTAACCCCCCCCCCCCCCCTCCCCCAAACCTAAGAAGTTGCCCCATTCGCGCGTAAAGTTTAAACAAATAAATACATTTTTAAATGTAAAAATAAGAGGCTATTTTTAGTAGATTTTATCTTTAATAAAATACCCATAATTTTCCGAACTAGTCCCTATACTGTTGGTCTATGTCCGGGTCTTGCTGTCCCATTATCGCGAGAGTTGCCCTCCGGCGTCAGTGAACCTCTGCGCGCCACTGAATAAATTACATCAAAATCATGATTAACCTCGGCGATGTGACGCTGTAATCCTGTCACTGACTAGTTGATAAAGATCGAATTTTGACTTGCTAGTGGTGACACTGACTAGTTGATAAAGATCGAATTTTGAATTGCTAGCGGTGACACTGACTAGTTGATAAAGATCAAATTTTGAATTGCCTAGTGATTCATCAACACACCAATATTAGTTTTTAAATGAGCATGTAGGCCTATATCTCGAACTTACTAGACACCCGCCCTTCAACACCCGCCCGAAACATATACGTAGCCTACACTTTAATACAGAGAAAATACAATAAAACTAATTGTGTCTTAATGAATTGTGACTTATATGAAATATTGGATATACAAGAGTATTTGATCAGTCTCGATAGGTTTGTTTTAATTCCATATCAAATATATAGTAATAATAAAATGATCTTATCATGACCGACGTCAGCGTCCTCTCTTAGATGAAGGCCTAGACTACGAGGGCCCCACTGTCTATAAAACAAAGTGACATTTTTAATTTCAGGACTGGCAAGCTGATCGATGATCTGATTAAAAGGCGGTGTCTCAAGGCTGATCGATATCAATTAACTCATCACACAGACCTATCAATTAAATCATTATCGTCGTTTAGACAGCCGAATCGATTATGCATCAAACACGCCCAGCTAACGTTAACGAAATTTAAAAGACATAAATAATAATAATATTTTAAAAAGACAATTAAGAGTTAACATCCTAAACATATGGGTTTTTTTTACACTGAGTCACACCACTTAATACACGTGTTTTTCATAAGGAGTCTTTCCATTTAACTTATACACGGAGTCACGCCAATCAACTTTTACACGGAGTCATGACATTTAAGTTTTACACGGAGTCATGACATTTACGTTTTACACGGAGTCATACCATTCAACTTTTACACGGAGTCACGCCTGTTGCGTCAGGGTTTGGTTCAACTCAGGAAACGATTCGTGGTTATCTTCAATACTTTTATTTGAACTCTATTCTTCACATAACAGAGTAGACCTCGCCCTAACCGCTACCAACTAACCCCTTACAACCATTCACTCCAGCTTTTATACCGCATTCGACCTTGGGATAACAATACATAAACACACCGGGGTTAACTCAACTCACACACGCACTCTCCCCTAATTCTAAATTATTCTAACATATTTCTATCTAACCTACAACTGACCCGTAACAACGCCATTCAACTTTTACACGGAGTCACGCCACTATACACCGGTTTTTACACGGAGTCAGACGACTCACCACACGGGTTTTTACACAATACGGTACTGACTCACTCACTAACTCGGGTTTTCCCACACTCAACCACACATTTCCACCATCACATTGGGTTTCCCTGAGATCAGTCTAAAATATTTCCTCGGACATTTTCATTGATCTGAAAATTTTGTTATGACTAACGCGACAACATTTGCTACCGAATCCTTTTGTCTAGTAGGCAACTATCGATGTTTTAAATTACTGTCATTTTTATTAGAGAGCATGCGGGGTTATATTACACACAAACACATTAGACATTTTAACCTTCTCCTTGCATCGTATAACATTTTATAACATTGCCATAGCTGGTAATCTTTACATTTCCCATAGTTTATAACATACACACAACCACCGAAAACATTCATTGGCCTTCAACATAAATTATGATTTTAAAAAAAAAAACTGAACTATGATATTTACACAATTTTTATCAGAAACTATCACTAAGACGAGTTTAAAAAAAAGAATGTGTAAACGTTGTGTCTAAATTAATCCGGCTATTTTACTTAGCAGATATTTTGAGAGAATAAAAATAAAGAAAAAAAAAAGACTTAATATAATAAACCTCTAACAGCATCCTACAGGCCTGTAGTGAAAAAGTAAATGACACCCCCCCAACCCCCCCCCCCCTTTCCACCTCTGTGCACAACCCCAAACCAACCTCAAGCAGAAATGATTTGATCGCGTGTCTAATTTGTGTGCTGATTCAGGGAACTTTTTTAAACAGTCAACAATTTTTTTAATCGATGTGATGTGTGAATTGTGCTGATTGGGCAAGAGAAAAAAAATTGATTGGAGAGTTGATCACGTGATGCAGTATTGACGTTTCCATTGGTCACCATTGTACACATGGGCTACACAGAGATGGAGACACAAAGCAATGACAAGGAAGTCAAACTTTTTTTTTTAAACGTTCGTTACACGCCGTTAGCTCGATTACAAGCCACAAGTTCGATTACACGCCACAAGTTCGATTACAAGCCACAAGTTCGATTACACGTACACGTCACAAGTTCGATTACACGTACACGTCACAAGTTCGATTACACGTACACGTCACAAGTTCGATTACAAGCCACAAGTTCGATTACTCGCCACAAGTTCGATTACTCGCCACAAGTTCGATTACACGCCACAAGTTCGACTACAAGTCACAAGTTTGATTACACGTCACTAGCTCGATTACAAGTCACAAGTTCAATTACACGCTACAAGTTCGGTTACACGCCACTTGCTCGGAAACAGAATCGAATAAAATAGTTGGGTGGTTCTCACAATAGGGATTAGTGAGGTAGTGTCATTAGTTGAACAAACAGACTGAGATGGTATGGGCATGTCACACGAGCCAACGGCCTATACAAAAACAAAAATGCAGGGCACGGTGCCAGGAGGGAGAAGAGGGGGAAGACAAAGACGACATAGGGTGGAGGACATCTAAGAAAGGACTGGGCTGCCTCTTGAACAACACATAGTGCATCACACGATGAGAAAGATGTCAGAAATTTGTAGTTAGTAATAATTGCATTAATCTCACTGCAGCTACCATTTGTTTTTATCTTTCAGAAATTTATGAGACAACTGTGGTGCCCCAACGACCCGGGGGTCAAGGGACGATTGATTGATTAGATTAGTAACCTAAGAAATACAAGTACAATTATCTTAATGACGTTTAAAGCTTACAACTATTGCGGAATTAAAAAGTTAAAGGATCGTGCACATTGTTTATACCATGAAAGAAAGGGTTAGGTGGGTGCATAATGGTTTTGGTATTATGTAAAGTAGGGCTGGTATATAGCATAGTTCCCTTTTCGAACCTGGCGGTCCATGGGGAAAGTGAAGTAGAGTTAACCTGTTTCTGTGACCTCGGTATAGAGCAGTGGTATGCGAGGGGTGGTGGGGTAGGGTAAAAATATTAAAGTTGTGTGCTCTATAACATGGGCAGGATCTCTAATTAGCTGTCTGGCACACGGTCAAGTGAAAGCTGAAACTATTCACAATCAGTCTAAATTCTAACAACAGCCGGTACTGACCTACCATCGGTACTGACCTACCATCGGTACTGACCTACCATCGGTACTGACCTATCAGCCGGTACTGACCTACCATCGGTACTGACCTATCAGCCGGTACTGACCTACCATCGGTACTGACCTATCAGCCGGTACTGACCTATCAGCCGGTACTGACCTATCAGCAGGTACTGACCTATCAGCCGGTAGAGACCTATCAGCCGGTAGAGACCTATCAGCCGGTACTGACCTATCAGCCGGTACTGACCTATCAGCCGGTACTGACCTATCAGCAGGTACTGACCTATCAGCCGGTACTGACCTATCAGCCGGTACTGACCTATCAGCCGGTACTGACCTATCAGCAGGTACTGACCTATCAGCCGGTAGAGACCTATCAGCCGGTACTGACCTATCAGCAGGTACTGACCTATCAGCCGGTAGAGACCTATCAGCCGGTACTGACCTATCAGCCGGTACTGACCTATCAGCAGGTACTGACCTATCAGCCGGTAGAGACCTATCAGCCGGTACTGACCTATCAGCAGGTACTGACCTATCAGCCGGTAGAGACCTATCAGCCGGTAGAGACCTATCAGCCGGTACTGACCTATCAGCCGGTACTGACCTATCAGCCGGTAATGACCTATCAGCCGGTAATGACCTATCAGACCTGTCATGTCCAGGCGTCAAGTCTGACTCTTGTGACGCCAACAATGTGAAATAAATGTCACCTGTACAGACCTGTTGTTTGTGTGCAAGCCCCGCCCCTTAACCCATCACAGACTTCATGAACCATATTTATGATTCACTTATCTATTCATAAAAACTCGAATTTCAATTGTTAAAAAAAAACACCACTGTATCAGAAAGGCACATCCAAAGCTACAGAAGAAACATGTTTTTAATTTAAATTCGTTATGCAACATTCAGGGGTGTTTACTATAGTAAAGTATAGTATCGTTTATTGTAAACTGTAGAGCCTATGGGATTTGAGATAAGTGGAAAGGCGAAATTAAAAATTGTATCCTTTTCCCTTCATGCCAGATTACTGACGTCACATCGTAGAGCAATTAACATAGCCATTTGCCTACACTTTTACAGGCTATTTGCATGGACTCTTAACATTTTCTCAACAATAGCTTTCTAAAGTTTTACTCCACCCCAACCCCCCCCCCCCCCCCATGATCTCCATACTATTCTGACCAATCAGAAAATGATTACATCACAGGTGTTGAGGCCTGGACTAAAAATAGCAACAGTAGAGAGCGTGGACGAGCACATGATCTGTTTACTCACCGACACAGCGGACGGAAGCTGCTCTGGCGAAACCCCCAAGTTTTTGAAGGACGAACTTTGGTCTCACTTTCAACCTCCCTCCCCTTTTTCAACTGGTTCATAGTTACTTTATAAATTTAAATGGAAAAGCCCCTATATTGTGTTGGTTTAAGCTTGGCTGCACAACACTTGCCAAGCCGGCAACACGCGAATATCTTATGTAAACACAGTTATAGAAGATACATTCCTGCTGCATTTCACATTCTTGGCCAGGTACATTAAAAAAAGTTAAGCCAGTTACGTCTTGGGAAAGGTAATCGGCAAGCTGACACGGGAATTGGGCACTCGCTATCAAAAGCTATGGGCCTCTGCGTATTTGCTGTGTGTGGTGGTGGTGGTGGGGGCGTGTGTGTGTATTTCCACCTGCGGTGCGGTGGGGTGTTCACTGCCAAACTATTCCCAAACTGTAAAAGGTAAACAGACGTACTTGGCTAAGTCCAGCCTTAACATCCCCTGCTCCGAGAGACATTAACTTTGTATTCAATAAATCATAATACTATATGTTTGTTTCCCGTCTTTCAGTTCAGTCTTCCATGTTTTGAAATGTGTGAACTATTAACCAGGATACATAAATCGGACTAGGCAGCCTACGGTATAAACACTCAAACACTGTAGACGTTATGAAAATCTCTATTTTAAAACAAACAAAAAAATATCAGGAAAAAAATAATATTAAAAAAAAAACGGTTGTTTTCAATAAAGTGCGGTTTGAAAAGTTCACTTGTAACCTATAACCTTTGCACTCTAATTTTGCACACACTATACCCTCTATGACTCATGTCACAAGGCTAGAACTAAAAAAACAAAACAGTGAAGTTAGGAGAAGGTTCGGAGTTTGAAAAAATATTGACTTTTATGATAACCATCTAGAGATCGCACGGTTTGACGGTTGATGCTAAGTTTAGTCCGGTCACGTGATTACGTCAGTGTTTGAAAGATGCATCAGTTTGGGTCGTCTGGTCTGAAAGTTTCTCTTGTGTTAGTCACGTGACCCATACGTTTATAACAGCCGAGACCGAGGTTAGCTCCCCTAGCGAAATACGACTCATAGCAATCAAGCGCGTGATTTCCTGCAAAGAGTTTAAAAATCACGACCACGTGACTTCCGGTTTTAGCGATCGTCGAAAGTCTTGAGTCAAACGGGCGTGAAATTCTTCAAGTGACTTTTATGATCTACGCATGTCTATGTCAACAAAGTGTGACGTAGGCTTACAAACAAACGTAGTCGAATCGCTCGCTAATAATTAATTATATAGCATGGCCTCAGGTGCGAGTAGGTCTGGTTTTGCACTGACCACAAAAGGTCAGTTGTTCTTTGTGGGTAACCGTTATAAAACTTTGATGTGTTATGAGTTCATGTTACAAGCCCATGGGCGGGTCACTATAAAAATATCTAGGGCGTTTAAGTCTTTTTTTTTCAGCATTGAAATTAAAGGTAAAGAAAGTAAAGGTAGTAAAGGAAGCGGTAGTTAATAAACACGCTGAACTGTAAAGATCATAGGGCGCGCCACTAGGCTAGTCTAAAGAATAAAGAAATACAGAAGCGACGCCACTGACTAGGTTACACCCCTTGTATTCGTCACGTGACGGCCTGCACTAAGCCAAAGACTTTTAAAATATCACACCAGTTATTTCGTTTCACCGCGTTTCATACGCCTGTTTTTTTTTTAGAACTAATCAGCTGATCTAAGTCACGTGATATGAGATCAGCTTTGTCACACCCGGGTGAACTCTGTCAATGACACGTGAATGTGACGTCTTGCGGCAGGACGTCTTTTGTTTCGTTGGCCTTAGCGGAAACACTTTTCAACAAGCTTTCAGTAGAGCTCTTCAGGGGTCATCCATAATTGAAGTGACGCTTTTTAAAAAAATAAATTTTATCACCCTCCTCCCTCACCATCGTCACAAAACGTAATAACCTAACCCTAAACTAACATCACACTTTAGCCTAGAGACCCCCCCCCCCGGGAAATTGGTTTTTTTTTTTTTTTTTGTGTGTTATTTCTGTCTAAAATATTTTCTAGTCCCTTCTTAGTCCTAGCCCATATTTCTGACCCTAACACTTACCATAAGATAGTTATACTACTGACCTATTGTTGGGAGGGTTTAGGGCAATACCAATACTCCCAGAACTACGACCACAAGATTTTAGTCGTTCCGGTATAGATATCCGGACCCGTGGTGCTGTTTAGACGGATAGGGGTTGCTACAAATGGGGATCAAAGGTCATACTGGCAGAGTCTTTTTTTTCCCGCGATTCGTAAGGTGTGTAGTTAAATATAGGCGCTAAACTGAAGAAAGACGTCTCTGGACATTTAAAAAAAAAAGTTACTTACGCCGATAAGGATGGAGAGCATCTCCAGATATTCCTTCTCGCTGTCCAAGACACCTTTGACCAACAACTGTCGCATCTTGAGCATGCCTTCGTTGGCGGAGTCCGTCTGGAATAGTCAGACGATATACATGTAGAAAACTCATTAAATAATCGAGGTTTGTTATTTGTAAAAAAAATTAAAAATAGTGGCATGGTGTGGTTGAGTGTCAGGGCGTTTTGCTGCTAGCCCGAATGACTCGAGTTCGGACTTGTGAATGTATGACGTCCCTGGGTCCACCCAGTCCTGATGGGTACCTGACTTACGTTGGAGAAAGTATAGTGCTGACCCCGCCATCTCTTCGTATGCCGAGGTCAAGAAACATTAACTCTACTTCATCTGCACAATGGATAAGCTAGGTCTAAAGAGGAACCTTTCTTATTTATAAACAACATTTAGTGCTAACTACACATTAGTTCGACAGTGCAGCTACACATGAAAGAATATAAATCAATTCTGAAAACATATGTTTATTAGCAATTTAATTATCCCCCCCCCCCCCTCACTCCTTTCGGTCATAAAATTGTTCCTTACACCGCGTTAATACTTACGACATATATACTATACACGTCTAAAAATAAATTAGCAGCAAGTTAGTAAACATGTTTTCATACATCATAAACTCGCTGCGAGTTTTGTTTTTTTCCTAGACATGTATAGTATACATGTCGCGTATAGTATACATGTCGCAAGACTTTCGGTGGTGTGATTTCTATCAATAACTAAAACGGTCTTCGCTTGGTAAAAGATATGAGCTATTTTTGGCGAAAGTATATTTAATCAGAACTTTTTTAAAGTGTTGAGTGTTTACATTTGTATTCCGTTAAAGTGTACCAGTTGGGTTGCAACGGGACAAAAATTGTTTGACAAGAACATAGTTAAATTTTCTCGGGTTACGTTAAAGTTAAGGTTAATTTTAGAACTAGGAGATCTAGGGTTAGGGGTAGAGCTATGGCCGTCTTGTACCTTGTAAGGGAATCACGTCTTGCATCGAAAAGCTAGGGTTGATTTAAAACTAGGTTCAGATCTAGGGTTAGGGGGTAAATACGTGTGATTTGGAGCAATGGACGTCTTGTACCTTGTAACAGAATCACACATTGCAGTGAAAAGCATTGTGTTTATATATTTGCATTAATTAAAAATTTAATGAAACCAATGGATACGTTCTTGTACTATCGCGGGTTCTACCTACATCCGTCTGTTCTGCAGCTAGGGTTAATTTTAGTTTCGTATACACAGTTTAACGTCTACACACAACAACAAAACAACTATAAAAACTAATTAGCCACGCCCATTCCTGTACCTGTTTAACAGCTCTCCCTACACTATAATTACATTACTGATTTACACAACATACAAAAAAATCGGAAGCCACTCCTGACAGTAAAAAATTTATTACTGCTGTAAAGACGGTGACTTGTTTCCTTAACTTTGACACAGAGTGTTTTCAACGCCCTTATAGTTACCTATACATTCAGCTCGTGTGTCTAGATCACTCAAGCACTTTACTAGGGTCGTGACTAAACTTGGGGTAGGTTATTAGCAAGGCAGTAAATAGCGGTTTAAAATAGGCCTACTATTGAGAACACGTGGTACTTATTAAACTGTCGACAGGACGTAAATGGAAGTTTTTTTTTAAAAAGTGTATTTGCTACTATGTGGGACGACATAGGTCATTGAAACAGATGAACTCAACTTCACCTGTCCCACGTGTCTTGGGCACTGACAGGATTTGCCACCATAACCCTGTCTCTAAACCAAAGTTCTCTAACTCAAGAAATGTCCAAAATCTTAACCCTAATCCTATCCCCTACTAATCCTAACCCTGACAAACACAAATAACACCGTCAAGTGCATTAATTTTTGTCAGCGTTTTTTTGTCACGTCCAAGTTGTTATAAAAACTTCACGAAGTGGTTATTTTTACCAACTACCGGAACCTCTGTCAAGTGACCGCAACTTATTCTAACTACACTAGCTTGCTACACACACAACACATCGCGACCTTTTTGTAAGAGGTCATTAGTCGAATACGTGGTGACCACACAAACAGTACACATTCAGCCCCAATTGGTTATTACAGGATCTGGGTAATTATTATAATATTCTAGAGCACACGAACTTTCAGCCCCAATAAGTTATATCGGGATTAGTGTTTCATTTTTCCTTCTAGAAAATGGACCTTGGATATGAGTATTTGTTTTATTTCAGCTAAAACATTTCACGAGCCGCAATATACAGAGAGAGTCCTGTAGTTGAGGCTTGACCTTATCGTTTCTATACAACACAAAGAACAGAGTTTCTTCCAGGCATCTCTTGGAGGGTGGTGGGGGGGGGGGGGGAATTTAGTCCCCCCCCCCCCTCCCCGGAGAAAAAAAGTCTGAAAGAAACACTGTAGAAGAAGGACACGATCACTGACCTCATCGTAGGAAGAATCGTTGACGGTCCCCGCCTCCTCCTCCCCGCTGCTGGCTATGGAGCAGGAGTCGTCCTTGACGCCCCAGCTCTGGCGGTTCACCTCCTCCAGCTTCTCGCTGTCCGGCCGGCTCGGGCTGTAGTCCGGCTGCGGACTAGCCTCCCGGCTGCGGTCATGGTCCCGCCTGGAGCGGCCACGGTCAAGGTCGGGGCTGTCAAGGCCGTCGCCGGATTCAGACGAGAAAACGAATTCGGCTGCGGCAGCTGTTGAAAGATAAAGACAGAAACCATAAATTTGATGATTTAACCGAAGACCAGATAATTAATTTAATAGAGAACCGTAAGTTTGATGAACTAACCAACACCATAACATTAATTTAATAGAGCACCGTAAAATGGATGATTTAACAGAAACTATAAAATTTATTATTTAATAGAGCACCGTAAGATTGATGATTTAAAGTACACCATAAGAGCAGAACACCATATATTTGATGATTTAAAAATTTAAAAGAACGCGCGTGTGATGATTTAACACTGTATGTACGAATACATAAAATACATTTCTTCATATTTTAATAACTGCAGATAGAAGAGACTTAAACTGTTGCCTTTGTTAAAATTAAACTAGGACCATACTTGACACAGAATACCTAATCTATTCTAGATATTTTAAAAAGTAGAACTGGAAATATAGTGGGGTTTAATTCCAACGCTCTAATGACACCAACATGTAATGGTAGTTATTGTGAAAACCAAACAGAACCACTGGACAGCAGAATCTGAAACCGCTGGACCTATGATGGAGTCAACTGGTCAGTGCGATAACACGTTCGTCTAGTTGTTTAAAAGACAAGTCGTTTGGGCAGCAGCCCCCTCCCCTAGCACATCCCTACCCCGCTGGGTTGGAATATAAAAATAGATAATGTATTTTGTATATTTTACCCAGAAATGTAAGCGCCCCTCCCCCGCAGTAAGTTTCAAATGCCCCCACCCCTCAACCACCAGAAGAAAAAATTCTGAAAGAAACACTGATCGGCTGTGGTCTTGGATCCTGTTTGTTTAGTCTTTAGTGTAACTAATTTTGTGTACGTCATGTTGGGGCGCCAAAACAACAAAGTATGTGTCATACTCCTTGTTGTAATTTCGTCATGAAGTGTATTAAATTCGGCAACCCAAATTTACATTTTTAACCTTGAAATTGACTTCAACAGAAAAAAACATCCTTTTTCAATGTTACTAAACAACAATGTATATGTTTCTTTACTAAAACCGTTTATAGTTCTTGCGAGTTGTTTATTTAAAGCAAAACCTAATTTACTTTTGGAAAGCGATACGTGTTGTTTACATTTTAAAAAACGGAAACCATAATGGGATTCCTGACGGTTTTTATGTGGTGTTGTCAAAAGTAGTAACCTATCAACTTGGGACTTTGAAAGGTCAACGGAGAAATGGTGTAAACAGAGTAACTTCCCTTTGTTATCTCCGATAACTCTAAAACTTAATAATTAAAAAGCTTTTAGTCAACTTTTATTCGCCGATTTTGTAAAATCTGTCATAAGGGGTGGCTGTCATAATCAGAACTGACAGACTCATTTTAAAACATTAAAATCAAATATTTCAACATAAAACGTCATTTATGATCATCATCGAACACAAAATGGGTTGCGCCCCAAATTCATTGTGTATTAGGATGGTTATATTTTTTTAATTGACGAACAAAATGTGCGCTTTATTCTTCCAAGAGTAAAAATTGCTTATTCAGTTAAGCTTATTAAAAACTATATTTTTATGAACTTTTTTTTTACATTAAAATTATTCAATTTTAATAAACATCAGTATCAGCAACCTAATGTGAGAGCTAGAAACATGTATAATTTTTTTTTTTTAGAAACGGGAAGTCTGATATTAAAATAAACACACACACATGCTTTCTACAGAACAATTCACAAGGGTGTAACTCCTAAAGATAACACGAGATTGTGTACTTGGGAGTTATCCAGTCCTAATTCCGATTACGTCAACCGGCGATTTCTATTAGTGATAAAAACAACCTCGCACGAGTTGCTATTTTTAACCTGCAGAGACCTTCGCTACAGCTGATTCATTCATTTCCCCCTCCCCCCTCCAATGTTTACCATGGGGGACATTCTGACACAGCAGTTTCGCAAATGTTACATTAAAAAACAACAAACCAAAAACACGGATAAATTTTAAAACTTCTAATGTGGATTTAAAACAAAAAGTTTTAGAATTATACTTTTGATTTCAAACCCTACGACTTTGAAATAATGCACTATTATCTCAAAACAAAAAACTAACATTTTGCTAACTGGCGTAGAGGCGCAGGGGGTGTTAAGTTTACCCCTCCCCTTCCTATGGACCCTATATATATATATATATATATATATATATATATATATATATATATATATATATATATATATATATATATATATGTAGGCCTATATACTGAGATATAAGCTCTTGGTAATAAAAGCTGATAAGTTTTATGGAAAAAAATATAAACACATTTAGTTACGCTAATTTAAATGAAAAAAAAATGTCATCGAGAAATAAATCAACGAGCATTTCTAACTTAACATCTGTTTATCTTATGCCCATCACTAATCTGACCTAAGCAACCCTGTTAATTAATGCACTTCTTTAATCGTCAAATGAGCTAAGCAAATCAGTTAATTAATACACCTCATTGACTGTCAATTTTAGTTAAGCTAGTCTGTTAATGCATCTGATGAAGCATCAATTTAGCTAAGCTAATCTGTTAATTAATTAATGCTCTCACTTACCGTCAAACATAATGCACTATATTTAAATTTTACAAACAAAACTAGCACTTATAATAATCCAACAAACGAATCAAATCTATAGTAGCATCAAGCAAAAGTCTCTTATATAAATCGAGAAAAAGTTTTACCGGAAATTGACAAGGAGGTTATTTACGTCAAGTCGACTCGCATAGTTCAATTGTTTGGGAAATCCACATTCTGGGCGTCGTTTGGGGGGAAAATTGGGTCATTTGTTTTCAGTTTGGGAAAAATGTTAATATACAAGGAGTTTTTGGGTGGATTCCATAATTCTGGCCCGATTTTTTAATGAAGCGTCACAACAAAAATTACCGAAAGTTCAATCTTATGATTAGCCCCCGGAATACCACTATGGGGTTGATTTAGAACCAGAAATCACACAATTTGATTGGCTAGAACCATTAGCGTATCGAGGGGGGGGGGGCTTAGGGGGCGCCAAAATGGGTTGGAAAAATAAATTGAAAGGTTGAGGGGGTGCAAATTGAAAGTTTGAGGGGGGTGCAAATCAAAATCTTGACGGGGGGTGCAAATCGAAAGTTTGAGGGGGGGGGGTGCAAATCAAAATCTTGAGGGGGGTGCAAATCGAAAGTTTGAGGGAGGGTGCAAATCGAAAAGTTTGTCCCCGGGCGCCTGGAAGGGTCGCTACGCCTCTGGCTAGAACTGAAAATGACGAAACCAAGTACAAACTGAATACCTTTCTTCACAACAAAACGCTAAATGGGACAATGAACATTGCTAATTACAAAGTGACTGATGAAAAATAAACAATTACAGTTATTTAAAAACAAAACGTGGAAAAAAACAACGAACAAATAAATACAGAGATCAAAAGGTTCTACTTTGAATTTGAAATGTTTGGAAAAAAAAATGAGTGTATGACGTCATTACTACGTGTTATTTATTTTGAAATTTCACCATCAAGTTTAGGGATCAATAGATCTCTTGACTTCTTTAAATCAACGGTTCTAGAAATATTAAAGAAAATGGGACCCGAGTGTGCATAGCCTTTGATTACAGTTTTCAAATCAACGGTTCTAGAAATGTTAATAATATCAAAGAAAATGGGACCTTAGTGTGCATAGCCTTTGATTACAGTTTTCAAATCAACGGTTCTAGAAATATCAAAGTAAATATGTCCCTAGTGTGAATAGCCTTTAATTGCAGGTTTCAGATCAACGGTTCTAGAACTGCCAGGGTATAAAACCCTACTGACGCTGTGTACAGCCTTTGATTACAGTTTTCAAATATCACGAATCATTGTAGCGTGATGTCAGCCACTAATTAAAAAATTATAATCATTAGATTAGAAACATGACCTGAAACCACATCTTGGAAATATATATTTGAGATAATTAGCGCGGCCGATTACTAAGATAATTAGACGGGAAGTTAATCCATTTAATTACACATCAGTCGACGCTAGATACTTGCCTATGAAAGTATTGTGAAATAAATTTGACAAACATAAAAAGTTGGCTTGGATTAGTCACGATATTTTTTTGTACTTATTATAGCAGAGGCGTAGCGACCCTTCCCGGCGTCCGGGGACAAACTTTCCATTTCCACCCCCCACCCATCTCAAGATTTTGATTTGCACCCTCCCTAAAGCTTTCAATTTATTTTTCCAATCCATTTTGGCTCCCTAAGGTCGGCGCCCGGGGACATATGTCCGTCCCCCCCCCCCCCTCGCTACGCCTCTGTATTAGACCAACAGCTAGAAAAGTGGTTTAGTTTTTACAATAGTTTTATAAACACAATCTTTGAAGCCAGGCCGTATGGGTTTCTATTGACTGGTTCTTTACCAAAGGATAAGTTTACATAGTTTTTATATTGGTCTGTCGACTGTCGACATTGATTATGAACTTAAAGCCATCAAGAAACTGATTTTGTTAAAGCGTATGTTTTGTTGTTTGTCATTTGTCAAGGGAGGCAAACAATGACGTGCAAGCGCAAAACAATCGTAATAGTGTCACAACAGGAAGGAGAAACTTTAACGGTGACATTCAACTTGGAAAGAAACTTAAGGCTCGGAAAAGCAGGTGGAAAATTTGTGAAAAATTTTAAATGTAATTTGGGATCGTGGGATACTCGGGCAAATATTTGCTTGGGAAAAGGGGGAGGAGCAAGATCAAAGGGAAGGAACTGGGGTAGAGGAGTCAAACTGGGATAAAGTGGAGTGTAATCGGGGGGCACTCTGGGTTATCAATTCAACTTCCGGCTTTTTTTTTTTTGTAGCAGGGTGACCGCGACAGTCAAATGTTTTGTTAGGATTAATGCCCTTTTTTTGTTGCCAGAACATCTCAGCGATTGGTAGCCTAAATTTACCCAGTTCACAGATAACGGACAAACCCCCAAGTTCCATATTGCAGAAACCATATGCACAAAACCAGTGGCGTAGCCAGGGTGTGTAAATAAGGGGGGGGGTGGAATCCCCCA